TAGGAGCAGCAGCCTGGCGCCCCATCAGTCCATCAACTTCATGGAGTATTCTATCAAATTTCCCTTCTTCTTTCCTTTTCGATACATTCATTTTGGGTGGTCGTAGTGGAGATCCATGGCACGCGCTGAGATCGAAGCTACTGATAGTCTCATGGAAAGCCAGTCATGAGATCAAAAAATAAAAAACTCAGAGGGAGATTACCTTGTAGGAGTCTTTATTGTAGTCAGGGTATTATTATAGTATACTGCCGAAAATAATAAGTACACGTTTATGAGCTTTCTTTCACGTCCTATGTATAGGATGTATATGTATAAATATCATAAAATCAAATATCATAAAAATCAAATTTAATTTACCATCAGACCTGATTTTTCATTGCCAATTTGAGCGGGTATCTCCTTGGAAGACATTAACTGATCCTTTTTTGCAAGACTGATGATGCGGGTGTCCGTTGTTTGTAAAGATTTCTTCTTCCATCCTCGATTTTCAATAAGCACTTTATATTTTAAAACGTTCTTTTTTAAAAAGACTTTTCAATTTCCCGGATAATTTTCCTTTGTTTTTTAAGATTTACGGAAAACTTATTTTCTTCAGCAGTACGGCCTGTCTAAAGAACTTTTTTTACCTCTCATGTACTTAAATATGAAAGAACACAATAAAAAACAACAAGCCTTTGACCAAATCCTTATCAAATCCTTTAAAATAAAATAACATAAGTACAATGACTTATTATTGTGGCCAGACCAAAATTGCCCATCCAGCAAAAATTAAAGCATAGAAGTTTATAAAGATGGTTCCTCAATTTAATTTTTGATTTTAATATTTGGCAAGCAAAAGATTACAACCTTTTCAAAAAAATTCGAGCTATTCCATAACAAACTAGCACGACACCGATGTATTTATTTTTTTGGCCAGTAGTGTATATGTATCTATACCAGTGGTTGCAAAAACAAGAAATGAGGATAACGAGGCCCAGCCGTTCTTAATTGATGATATCCCATACAATATGATTCTCAATATGATTATTAAATCAAAAGCTCAATGCAGTCGCAACCCAATCAAAAAATTGAATTTCCATTTAGTTCAGGTGATGGAGCAGCAGGCCGTGTAAGCAAGCACGCACCCACACGCATCCTGTCAAGTCCCGAGCAGTGCTCGTACTTGTAATTACGGCAGTGCTAACGGAAACCAAACCCAAAGATGCACTGATATGAGATACAAATGCGGTACATAATTAAAGAAGGGATGCAGGACCCCCAGGTACTGAGCATAATGCATATAAAGTAGATATCCATTTGTACATACGAGTGTGTCCGTATGTATGAGGATGTATAGCATTATCGTTCTCAATGAAGCATCCCGTCCAGAGCGGGCGTGTGCAATTACAGTTACATGTTGCCCACTTTTCAATATGGCGCCCATTGCGCAGTCGCTGCGGTGGCCGACCAATCACAAATTTGTTGCTCTTCCAGTGTGACTGTGTGCGTGATTATCTGTGCCAGCCGGCGCCTGTTCGTGTGTGAGTGCGGGAACCTGGAAGGGGCGTTCTTACCTGTTCTTACCCAACCTGTTTATCTGCTCTCTCGTTTGCACAACGTAGTGGCTCTCAAACTGTCGCCGATCTCTGCGCCAAAAAGAGAGCGAGAGAGAGCATTAGCACAGTCGCGGCAAAAAATAGTGGGCATGGTATTTATCAAATCAAGCAATTAAAGATACTATTTATAGAGCGGTATATAAAGTTTCAATAGAACGGTGAAAAAGAAACATTAATAATTAAAATATATTAAATATTAATTAATTATTCTATAATTATTATAGCAGATGAAACCAAATGCATTTAATAGATTTCCTGACTAGAATAACACAAAACAATGCTAAAATAAAAAAAATCCCATGAATAATATTATATTAATATTATCAAGCATCAAGCATATGTTCTAAAATATGAAAAGAGGCTACATCAGCTGTTGCTTTGTACTCCACATATGTATTTCCGTACATTTATCATCATTCCTTGCCTCCAGTGTAGGGTACTCTCTCCCTCAGTTGGCGAGTATCTGTGTGCGTTCACCCCCTTAAAGCGAAGATACATTTACATTGACCGTCTCGCTCGCGCACACCAATACCAATGTCGGCGGCACCAACCAGATTTGTTGGCCATTGCATTTGGTCTTTTCCAATTTTTGCCTTCAGTTTTCCTCTTGCGCTGCTCCGCTGCGGTTCGTTCGCTCGTCGTACCGCTGCTCCACGTTTCACGTCGTCCACGTCGCACGCGCAACTTCGATCCGGATACGGATCCGGCGGCCTTTCGCTCGACTCGCGCAAAAATATCTGCGCCAAATGTTCAATGAATGAATTTAAAAATGAAATTAAATGCAACAAATTAACGCACACGAAACGACAACAAAATAAAGATAAATTAATCTAATCAATCTGCTGGCGGCCATCTTTTTGCTGGCACTGTTTCAGTGTCGCACTTGCCGTGTGGTGATAGTCGGGCACGGCAATTAGTCCGAGTCCGGGTCCGAGTGACGGCCCATTTCGAGGAAGGAACCGAAAACGTTCCACGAGAAGAGAAAATAATTCGCAACACGTGTTGGTTGACACAGTGCGTATGAAAGATGTGTGGCCCTGCCCTGCATAAGTGAGCGGCAGTGCTGTGTGAGTGGCGCCGGTGGTGCTAGCAAATGAGTTAATACTCCTATCTGTGTGAAAGTGTGTGTGTGTGATAGTGCCTGGCACATGGCCCCCCCGCGGAAAGTTGGATGAAAATAAAAGCCAAGCTCCAAAACATCACCTTTTGTTTGGATACATCGAAGCGGAATCGGAATCTGATTCGGATTCGAAGAGTCCCAGTGTAACAAAAGCACAAAACTAAAGCAAAAGAGAAACACGGATATCAACCATAAATAATCAAACTACAGGTGAGTCACAGATTGGGTTTCGTTAGGAATCGAACTTGCCGACGGCAGACCAAAGCTAACGTCACCGTAGCTGGCGAGTTAGCCATAGTTTCCAGTCCGTACCATCCCCAGGATGGTCTTTAAACAAAGCTGAAATATAAATAGCTGATAGCTGATCTACACAGGTGCTTTCAACTACTGAAGCTTTCGATTGTAAATGGTACAATCGATGACATTCGAAACCGTTCCTTTTTAACAAAACCAAACAACATTGTATATACGCACTATATCCGACTACTGAGCACAGATCCAACCATCTATAGGGCTGATCCATGCTCGTGAAAAGTGTAAATAGCAGATACTGAACCGCTGATCTCAATCGAACACTGCGAGAGCGAGTTCGCCAAATGGGAAGTATTTCCATTCTAATGGATCGATCTATCATTGCAATCGATTCACAACTTGTATGACTAGGCATCCATCTCCCAATTGGGGTTAGTGTGAAGGGGAAATCGATTCCGAATTTGATGCAATTCGCTTTTGGCGGACTCTGGCATTGGCGGATTCCAAATTGCCATTCCATTGCCTTCAAGAACGCAGCTACTTGAGAACACACTACTTGATGCACTTGAGAGCCGCCAACGAAATAAATATTTCAGTGCAGTGCACGGTAGAACAGAATTCGTGTTTAGAAATGTAATTGCTTACACAGAAAATGCTGGAGGTTGATCTCTCCGGCTAAGCAGTTGAGTGGGCGTGTTGCCTCAGGTTGCCTAAGGTTGCCTTTACCCCGAAAATTGGATACACGTATACTCACTATTCTACAGTCAAATTTGTTAATTAGAGGAAAAGTAGGCACCGAAGTGAAGGAAAAACAATTTCCAGTTGTCATTCAATCATCACTGAAGAACCGCTTCGCACGAGCATCATCTCTGGTAGTCTTGTAGCCATCGGATACATTTGTTCCGCGGGGCGTGTTTATTTATAAAGCAGTTTCGCTTCATCATGCAAATTCGCTTTGGGACTAGAAATATGAACAAAATTATTAACTAATCGAGAGGTTTTTCGGGGCTCTTGCCAAGATGCTACTTTCTTGAGAAAGTTTCGGATGAGTGGGCGGGGACCAGTTCCATCCGCCCGTCTGAGCATGCAAATTGCTGGTATAAATAGGAAATTCTTTATGGGATTGGAGCCGTTTAAATGAATTGGCCAGCGCGTGTTTGTCGTCGGGAGTCGCGATGATTAATGGGGTGCGGAGATGGGAGCAGATGTTTTACTATATATTATCTGTGAGACGTGTGATATGATGATGTTACCAGAGACTTTTCGGCAAGATACCATCTCCATCTCCGAACCATCAATGGTCTCACAAAGTTGCCAAATTGACAAATTAACGCATTCCTCTCGCCAAGATTCGGATTCGCCCAGAACAGATGCAGATACGCAATCGTAGCGATCTGGCTTTGATCATTTTACGCACTGCCGTATAGAATCCGTCGTAATTTGGCATGAGGCAGTGGGGTCTGTGCATACATTTTAAAAATTGCATTTGGGTTTCATTCAAAACTTTGGCAAATGTAGCGCGAAACTGCGACAGGGAGGGAGCGAGCGGTGCAGCGGGAGATGCAGCTTTAAAGATACACACGGGAATGTACATCTGCGTATGCAACCCATTAAATTGACAAATTTCATTCATTACGTTGGGTTCTATTTGATTTCTGAGTGGCTACCGTGTCTACCGTGGGGTGACAATTAAGCAGACATTGCTATAAATACAGTTGTATCTGGCAGATAACAGTTGCTTACTAAGCCAGCCAACGCCAGTGAGCAGTGTTTCGCCATTCCGGGAATCGGTGGTGTGCCCAACAGGTTGGCACCGTCCGTCACAGTAGTCTCCAGGCGATTACATTTTATAAACACAGACATCGGCCCAGATGATTTCAAATACTCGTATAGCTGCAAAACCAAAACAGTCGCCCTCTCTGGATTGCACCGCCTGCACCATTTGCACGACCACTCGATGTCAACCACAGCCAAGGTTGTCCCTCCAAACAGTTCCCCATCAGAGCTCAGAGTGGGAGCAGAGCAGAAAGGAATGCACCAGAGATAAGGGGCAGAAGTTATTGGGAAGATGCACCTTCTTTGTTGCTCAAAACTATCTACAAATCATCGCCTCAAAAGGGAAAATCACAGCAGAATACAACAGTTTTATTGTAAGTCGACTTTAATCACAAACTAATTAGGCAAACGCCGCAGCAGCGCCAGCGGCAGCATCCACAACAATTCAATTTGATTACCAACCCAATAGAATGCCATTCGAGTAGATACGCGTGCGCGCGTATGCGTATGCAAGTGTGCGCATCCACAGATACAGATGGGAGGAGAGGTGTCTGCTTTCAGTTTCGGGCTGAGACAGCCAGTTCCCCCGCAAGCAGACAGTCTAGGTCCAGCCGCACAATAACACTCAAATTAAAATCTTATAAAAGTCAAACTTAACAGCAGAGCAAACAGAAAACAGAAGAACCGAAATCCGATAGATACTCGTGGACAGATAGCAGAACGTAGGAAATAAATAACGAAATTTGTAAAATAAATTAAATTAATTTTATTCAAATGCCACAAAAGTCAGGCGGTCAGGCAGCCAGACGAGACCCTCACTCGATAAGAAATCTCCCGCTTACATGTTGGACGAGAAATGCAGCTGGATATCAGATAGAGTATCTATGAGGTGGCTTCTGCTGCTGCTGTGGTGTAACGGTATAAAGCTATCAATTTGGGATACTATCTTTCAGCTACCATTTAAGGCTGTTAGTGTGTCATCCTACTGTTGCCTTTGCAGTCATGTATCCATGGGATGCAATCTACCACATGTGTGCGATCCTATAGATTGAAAATTTATCGCGTATTTCGTTTCACTTTCGCATTCTGCTTGTTTACTTGCGTCAAACATGAAACAAGCCAAAGAACCGAAAGAAACAAGAAGATATCGAAAAAGAAAGAGAATCCAATTCGAACGAGAGAAAGAAATCTATGGAGAGGGACTGGCTGGCTGCTGGCTGCAAGCTACTGGCGGGGGGGATCTCACTAGGCCGATGACTCAAGAGCATATCCAACTTGGCGTTGGTATTTTTGTTACAGCAGCCAAAACGAAATCTCTTCTCTATTTTCTTGTTTTGTATACATATAATCTGCCCCGCATACACACGAGAACTGAAAACAGATCCAAGAATATCTCGACTCTCACACATACTCGTACCGTAGAGGTGTGTGTGTGTGGCTATCTGTGAGTCGGAGGGCACACGGGGAATATGTATCTATATCTACAAGTGTATCTAGCCGAGCCAGAGATCGATTGCATATATCAAAGTTACTATAAAATATAGCCAGAGATATTCTATCTGGGGGATACACTTGCCTCTCTTCCGCTCTCTTTCCCTCTCTCTCCTTGTGTGTGTAAGCAGAGACCAGCGACAGCGACAGCGACGCCGTCGTTTGGTAATTTTAGAAATATTCTTAGAACTGAATACAGAAATCTGAAATCAGAGGAAAACCGAAAACCAAACCGAAACACCACGCGCCACATATGTATGCATATATTGTGTAAAAAGTTTATTTCTGTAAGAGATCTCTCGGCTAGGGTTAGATCAGGTTGAAGAGAGCCCCTGCCCATAGCCATGGCCAAACAATATTTCCGATAATCGAAAAAGTTTGGACCTATAATTGCACTCGGATTAGTTAATTTTATTTGACAACATGGGGTCGTGTTGAATCGGATCCGATCGGATCGGATCGAGGAATTGTTTTGTTTTCAGTTTTTGAATTTCCAAATGGTTTATGAATATGGAGGCTGATCTATTGTTCAACATTTCCAAAATAATTTGCTAAGTTCAACAGTTTAATGTGTTTGCTTACACATCCAAAATAGCCATAAAAATATGAGAAATCGGTATGATAATTAGTTTGATAATTGTGTCGAAATTCTAATTTTGAATTGTTTGGGATATTGGTATAATCTAGTGATACATTACTGTCTCTCTATTCTATCTTTGCAGCGCTCAAATTACCAAAGAATCTTAAAAACTATAGTCGGATAAGCTATTGTTATCCCAGCTGGTCTGGCCTTGAACTTGTTCCCTTCGCAGTTATTGCTAATTGAACGCACATAGAACGGACTCCCTGCTGCTGCCCCCACCACCCCCCATCTTCCCGCCCCTTCCCCAGCTCCGATTCCCGCCCAAAATGCTTCAACATCCTGCCACAGATTTCTACGATCTGGCCGCGGCCAATGCGGCCGCTGTCCTCACCGCCCGCCACACACCCCCCTACAGCCCCACAGGCCTGAGTGGCTCGGTGGCGCTCCTCAACAACAACAACAACAACAACAACAACAACAGCAGCAGCACCGGCAACAGCAATAACAACAACAATAACAATCTGGACATCATGACGCACAATGGAGTGGTAGTGGGCGGCGGCGTAGGCACCGGTGGACTGCACCTAACGGGTGGCAGCAATGGGGGAGTGACGGGAGGTGGTGCCTCCGGCGGAAGGGAGAACCTGCCGAGCTTCGGCTTCACCCAGGAGCAGGTGGCCTGCGTCTGCGAGGTGAGTTCAGTTTCAGAATTGAGTCTGGAGGATCCCAGTCCTGCTTCGATACTGCATCGATCTAATCCGACACAATCCATTCGCTGCCGCAGGTCCTGCAGCAGGCCGGCAACATCGAAAGACTGGGCCGCTTCCTCTGGTCGCTGCCACAATGTGATAAGCTGCAGCTGAACGAGTCCGTGCTGAAGGCCAAGGCGGTCGTTGCATTCCATCGCGGCCAGTACAAGGAGCTGTATCGCCTGCTCGAGCATCATCACTTCTCGGCCCAAAATCACGCCAAGCTCCAGGCCCTGTGGTTGAAAGGTGAGCCTCCAACTGCAGACCCCATGACTGCCGCCATGGGCATGTGTGCTGCTCCTGCTCCTGCCTGCTCCTTGCTTAACCCCAAAGCTCTACAAAATCGAAATTCTTTCTCTCCGGTTGTAGCGCATTATGTGGAAGCCGAAAAACTGCGCGGAAGACCCTTGGGTGCTGTTGGCAAATATCGGGTTCGTCGCAAATTTCCATTGCCCCGCACCATCTGGGATGGCGAGGAGACGAGCTACTGTTTTAAGGTGAGTCTCGACTCCACAACATTTCATTTTAATTGTGGCAGTGGCATTGGCAAGACAAGGCCAGGGCTCGGCTCTGACCAAAAAGAAATCGTAGAAATGTCTGCACGCCTGTCTGATTCCATTCGATGAGATGGGGTTGGGTTGGGTCGGGTTGATCCTGCAGGGTTAACGCCTTCTGTTTATTCGGGGTATATCCTTCCTGTGCAGGCTTTCAATTGATTAAATCTGATTTATCTACATAATTATGCTTCTCCCTTCTTTAGGAGAAATCCCGCTCTGTACTGAGAGACTGGTACTCGCACAATCCATATCCATCGCCCCGGGAGAAACGCGATCTGGCCGAGGCCACCGGGCTGACCACCACGCAGGTGAGTCAATCCCCCCGATGTTGGCTGATGGCTGCCAAGAGCCGATGGCCGAAGAGAGGAGCTGCAAAATGAAACCAAATGTCAAACGCGTCTCTTGACAAATTTCAATTGCAATTCCTCACAGATGCCCCATCCTCATCCTCCACATGTTAATTGCATCTCATTAATCATGTCACAAACTGTGGATATTTGGCGAAACATTGTGCAAATGGTATTTCTAAAAGTGCTCTCTATGCTGTTTATTTTCATGCTTTACAGGTTTCCAATTGGTTCAAGAATCGACGACAAAGAGATCGAGCCGCCGAGCATAAAGAGTGAGTTTTCATATACTACCAATATACATATGTAGGTACATATGTACATATATTGTATGTACATATGTATATCTGTTCTATTACCATATTGGATTATTAGCTGAACCGTGCCATGTGTTAAATGAATCTCTCAGGGGCCTTCTTTGAAGTTTGTGTCCTTCCTCAAAGACATTTATCTGGCGGTTAGTCAGCTCAAAAGCAGATCTCTATATCAGTATTCATGGGTATATCAGTGATATGTGTATATAATATATTGTATACCTAGTGTACAGATATATGTACGATTGTTTATGTTTCATTTAAAATGTTGCGAGCAAGTGTCAGCACAACAAAAATACAGATTATATATTAATTTGCATTTAAATTTTCAATTACAAAACCTGGCGACATTTACTTCCAAGGTCATTGAGTGGGTGGGGGGCGGGTTCTGTTCTGGCTAATTAGTGCCAAGGACAAGAGCCAAAACTGGCACACGCTGCGGCGGGGATGGATACAAAACGATCAAAGATTCGAATGAAAGAGTCGCTGACAAAGTCATTAACATGTTGTTCCAAATTCCAAAATACTTATTCCCATGTATTGTATTTGTATTTGTTTTATTTTTATTTGATTTGTGGATGTTTACTTTCGGGTATGGGCAGACGCAGACGTACCTTTGGCATACGTACATACATATGTGTGGCAGGCATCGTCACTAATTAAAATCTCTAGTCCTTTCCCCGTCCTTTGCCCTTCCTTTCCCCTTCCTTTCGTCGTCCTCGCCCTTGGAACATCTGCATTTCCGCTTAAGCAAATACTCGCCTTTGCGAGCAGTTCCAAACTCTTTTCGGAGTTTCTCTTCCTCTAGGAGAGAGGGAGTGCCGGTGGCGGAGATCCCTAGCTGCTGATAGGAAACATTAACATTCTCTCAAATATTAAACATCCTCTCTGGCCAGCATCCTTTTGTTTGTCCTGCTCCTGCTACGATCCTGCTGCTGCTGTTGCTGCTGTTAGAAGTCATGTGAAGTGCAAACAGTAGAGAGAATTTCGAATGGATATTTGAAGTGGCCGCGTTGTCTCCTCGTCTGTCTCTCCTGCGGCTGTTTTTCCAACTATTATTAGTTAGCAAATTCCCAGAGACTTTCCCCAGGATACTAGTAGTTCCATTATGCTAAATGGTATATCACTTACGGCTGCTCCTCGCTGACGGGCAGGCGGCAGGAGCGGAGCGCGGAGCGAGAAATTGTCGTAATCAAAATGAAAATAAAATAAAAGAAAACGTAAGGCTGCAAAATATTATAAATTGGATGCCGTGGCAACCGCAATGCACTCATACATGGGCAGTGCACAAAAGTATCTCACAGATACAAATTCACTCCCTGCGATAGTTCGTCGCTGCGTATCTCCATCGCTGCCGCCGTTGTTGCCGCTGCTGCTGCTGCTGTTGCTGTTGCTGTTGCTGTTGTTGCTGGTAACTTGATATATGTTTATGGCTGTTGCCTCGATGAGCAACTCGCTGTGCTGCTACTTTAACTTTTTTCCATATTGTTTTTTCCTCATCATCATCCTCCTCTTCGCCACTTCTCCTCCTTTTCTTTTTTTTGCATGTGCACTCGCTCCGTGTGTGTGTGTGTGTGTGTGTGTGCTTGTGCTTGTCTGTATCTATGTGCCATGCAGCTTTGTGGCAGTCAGCAAACCACAACGGCGCCAAATCTGAATCTAAAGCGGCACTTTGAACAGGCCAACAACTGGCAAAGTGGTTATTGTTTAAATAGGCACCACCTTGGAATAGGTATAGAACAGAGTCCCTCTCTAGGTAGATGGAGTACATAGATATATATATTTATGTCTGTATATATGTATGTAAGTATGGCCTTTGAATAGATGATTGAATGCAAGCAATGCCAATGTCAAGGGGCAAGTGCAACCCCAGACGATTGCCGTCTCCTCTCTCTCTAGGAACGGATCCAGAATACAGATTATACGAGCACTGAGACAGCGAAAAGAATTTATAGTACGAGTGCGATACGTTTATTAAACTTTAGCCACATCAGAGTTTGGAGAAATCAAAGCGTATACTCAGGCGTAGACGAACAAAAGAGCCATTCGGATATAGTCCACTGTCGAGGATATGACTGCTATAATCACGTGATACCTGTCGAAGCACATGGTTGCGTACAACTGATGCTTCTTGTTGGTCACCTCGAAGCTCCAGAGCTTGGACAGACCGCCAAGGAGATCCCAGTTCTCACCAAAGTGGAACCAAGAGTGCCGCTCGCTCACGTACTGGAAGATGCCGAAGTAGACGAGTACGACAATTAACTGAAAAATTAACGGCATAAGAATGAGGAAGCCCAGGAGGAAGGTATATGCAATCTTCAGCATCGTGGGGAAGGGTAGCGGCTGCATCCAGACATCCTGGAGATGATCCACCAACGGCTGCATATAGTACACCAGGCGCGCTATCTTCGAGGTTTTCTTCCACTGCGGATTGAATGCGGGGATTCAGAGATTGAGCGGAGACCTACTGTACCTACTGTTCGGACATACTATTTTACGCTTGTGCAGCGGCTTTTTCCAGGTCTTGTGCATGTTCCTACTTTCGAACTGGCAATTTGCCAGACCCATCTATCAGGCTAACTAATTTTGAACTGATAAATGTTCTTGTTATACTTGTGATAGCTTTTTTGACACTACAGCGCCCAACAATATCGGGTTGCTTTTCTATTTTTTTGCTTTGGGCGTCCAAAAACCATTCAAAATATTTGAAATTAACTCAAAAAAAAAAGCCATTAATTTAATTCATTTCATTACTGACATTCGATATTTTCTAATTTTTATATTTGAGCCATGTTTTCAATTTTTCTCAAATTAATCGAAAAGAAAACTTCACATAACGTTCTCTATGGGAATCTTGCGAATCTTTCATCTCGATTTGATTGATCCGATTTTGCCGTAACAGCAGTTTCTAGGAGAATTTCCTTCCCTTCCCTTCCCTTCTCTGCCTTCCAGACACAGTCTGGTCCCAAGCGAAGTCCTGTCCTGCTCAGACAACAGCAGCCAGAGCAACCATCATACTATACTTATTCATACACTACCGAAGCGACCCAGTCCGAGTTCCACTTCCAGTTTCAGCTCCAGTCCCAAGTCCCATCCCATTCCCCTTCCCTCTTCTTCGGTATGTGTTTTTCTCTCCTCGTCGTCGTCGTCGTCATCATTTTGCGTTCGTCGAATGCCACGGTTGGCTGGAGGGTAGCTGGGCAGGGTATCAGGTTACCACAAAATGTGCGTGTGTTCTTTATTCGTTCGCCCTGCCATTCCCCCCCCCCCCCCCTCGCCGCCGTCTCCCCTCCATCCATCTGCTGTCTCCAGCGCGTTATTCATTTTTATTCGTTTTATTGTACATTCTGTTTTATTATTATGTATTTTGCGCTTTTGCCCGTCTCTTTCCTCTCCACTCCTCTCCGCTCCTCTCTCCACTCTCTCGTCTTGATTCGCTTTTGTGTACTGTTTTCGTTCCCCTGCTCTTTCGCTCTCTCTTTCTCTTTGGCTCGCATCCCTCTGCCATCCCTTTCTTTGAGTACTCTGATGGCGTTGATAATGATGTCGTTGGTGATGATGGCCCCAGAGTCCATGGATTGGAGGCGCTTGGGGGCATACCATCCACAGCCACATCCACATCCCACACTCCTTTGCTGGTGTGGGGGGTGTGCTGTGGGTGTTCGTCAAGTATCTGCACTCTCGCCTACAATTAGAGATCATCTTGACCTCTGCAAGGGGCTCGATATGGTTTCTCCAAGTGGACCGAACCTCTTGGTGCTTCCATCAAACTCTCTAAGCTGCTTAAAGTTCTCCCAAGTCGTGAGGATTACATAAAAGTTTGGTTAGGCACCGCGGGGGGCAGAAGCAGTTACAGCTGTAGCCGCGTCCACCGCGGATGGTATCGCCTCGGGCAGGGCAGGGCAGGGCAGAGCAATTAAAAGACAACAAAATTATTAAAAAACTGTCAAAACAATCCACAGCCAGCATAAAATGCGCCACACGCCACACAACAAACATGGAATGGAACGTTTCCCGGACCGATAATAAAATATCTTATAACGATGACAGGGTTGCGTTGCGTTCCGCTGGAAGACCTCTGGTTAATCGTTAAGATCTTACATAGTTGTAGACAATGGCACAATGCTTAGGTAGACGCTGGCCTGGCTAGACAAAATCCCCAAACTCCAAGTCAGATCAAGGGTACCCTCTTCCTCTACCTCCTACTCCTTCTCGTTTTCGTTTTCGTTCCCGGGCTCTTTTGCATCTGCTGCATGGCCCCTGCTTTGGGGTCTCTGGAGTGTCAGAGAGTCGCCACGAGCATTAACAACAGCCACACACATGCGTAAATTAAATGATAATTTATGATCAACACCTTTTCAGATTCCACTTATGGATCGCTGTTCTCCGTTTAGTTGGGTGTCCTGCTGAGCACACGTCCCGAGATTTGTGTACCGATCGCGCAATGCGATAACTCAACCTGTTCGTTCACTTTCCAGCGATCTCCCGATCTTCCAGATCTCCCAGTTCTCCCGGATCTCCCTGTGCGCCGGGTTAGGGCTCCGAAACAGCGTTCATTTTGTGGCCTCCTCTCTGGTGTGTTTGTCTTTTTAGGATTTATTGGCTTATAATTTTTATTAGCAGGGGAATTCCTTGGAAGCCTTCCTTGGACCAGCCATCATCTACCATAACCATATGATTTTATTCTCTCTTTCTTCGTATCCCCCGTCTGCCCCATACCTTTGTTTCTGATTCAGCATCTCGTGTATTAGTTTTTGAGGAGACTGTGGTTAGACTTATAGTTCTATACTCCATTGCATAACGAAGTGAACCGAAACAAGAACAACTTTATTCACGTGACAAACACAGTCTCGTCTCTCTTCCTCACTGCTCCACTGAACCACTGTCTCCGCCCTGTTTCCAGTTCAACATAATCCGATCAAGCATTATTACCAAGCTAATGAATCTGCTTAAGACAGATTCCAACAGAAATGGCTTAAAACTACAAAAAATCAATTGAGCAAACAAGTTCAAAAATATTAATTCCCCATCAATGAGCACAGACCCAAAAACGAAAAAAAATAATAAAAGAAAAGCCCGAAGAACCTTTTTAAGGTGGGAGGGGGGGGACCACACACAGAGAACGAGGCCCATAACCTGCTTCTTGATTTTGTTATAAACTTTATGTGACATTCCCTTTTTGTGGCGGGAATTGTCCTTGAGCTGCTTTGCCTCTGCCCCCCGTTCCCGATCGAGTGTGTGTGGAAAAATCGAACTGGAACATTTGTTTTATAAATGCAATCACTGGAAGGTATACTCACTCTATGAACGAAGGACAGCCCTGCTAAAGTAGAGGCTGTTCTCTTTCCGCTCGAGTGTAATTGTGTGCGTGTGTGTGTGTGCTGTTGTGTCTGTGAGGGGGCTTGGTAAGTGTTGCAGTGGTGCTCCAAGAGAGAACAGGGAAACGAGAGAGAACCAGAAACTATGAAATTCTGGTAATTCGATATCATTGTTTATATGCTGCTGCTCCTTCTTCTGCCTGCCATCGGCTTCTGCTGTCTTTTGTTTGCTCCCCACTTTGGCCCGTCGCCGTCCCCGCCCCCGTCCCGGCCCCTGCATGGGATAGATGGATGGATGGGGGCGTTTGTGTTTTCCCATATTTGCGGGGTTCTATCGATTTTTGTTTAGAGCAGCGCTACTTTACGTCCACAACTGGAATTCGTTTGGTGAAGAAGTAAGAGGACTCCACCTCCACTCCTTCCTATTGTCCGACAAATGTCACATGTGCCGCCGAACACCCGGCCAAGTTCAAGTTCAAGCTCATGCCCCAAAAGAAACGAAAGACAATGATAATCGTCACGCTGTTGGTGGCACTGATCCTGATCCTGATCCTCCTCTCCTCTCCACTCCTCTGTCCCTCTGTGGATATAATCTACAATTACATGATTGCCGATATCATACAGCTGGGGCCCAGTGGAGCCCGCGCTGTATGTGGGCCCCTCCGTCGGAATCTGCAGCCGCCGCGGAGTCAGCAAATAAGTGGCCCCCCAAAGGGGGGCGCAGCAAAAAGATCGGTCCCTGTCCTCCGTCTCTGTCTGTTTGGGGCTGATCGCAAATTTGTCGAGTGTGCGCTTAAATGTTTTGCATTGCCATGGACGATGCGATGGCCGGTTGCTTGCTTGTTCCGATACCCTTGGACAGGACAGGATTTATTCGCTGCGTCAGTGGATTTGCAGCTAAATATGGTCCTTTCCTACTTCGCAGAAGGTTTAAGATGGTTCCGAAATGTTATATTCTCTATTCTCCAAGTCCTTAATCGAACTTTGGTCGATCTTCAATAAGTATCCCTTGATCGGTATATTAATCTTCCACAAGGGTATTCAAACTTTGTGGAGAAACTTCCATTCTCATTGCTGTCACCAATTTGTTGCTGTGCAAACTGGTTCCACGAGGCGGCTGCTGGCCCTGCAATTCGCGACAAGATTAACACTTTGCCGATGATGCCAGTGATATCCGCTGAAAGGCAATTGTTCGAGCTTTAATCATGTTATGGCTTCCTGGGTGGGGGTGTTAGGTGTTAGGTGTTAGCCATTAAAGTGTAATTTCAACAATTGTCAGAGGTCATCCCCCAAAGGGCGTCGCATCTAAAATTAACCCTAAAGTGCGGCAACTGCCACTCGAATGCCATTTACAGCCACATCAGTCACAAACAAATAATTCGAGTCAAGCTACTTAACTTTTGGGCCACAAGTGCCGTGCCACAGGCTGAAGGCGGGCGGGGGTGTGTGCAACATCCACATCCCCCAATCGAAAGTGACGTGACGCAGCTCAAATAACTGTAGCTGAAATCAGATGCCACGCAGCCGCCGAACGCTCTGGGGAATGCAATAATGATATGTCTCTCCCTCTCTCTCTCCATCTATCCCTCTGCTCAGTCACTGTCTGGGGCAACACCTCAGGAAAACGAACATGAGACCATTTATAGAAATGAGAGAGAGGCAGACGATTTCCTTCCGGAAAATAATTTCAATTGCAATTGCTGTGCCTGCTCTGGTGCCCTGTCGTTTGTCATTTGTTTATAAATAAATTATGCACTCTGAATGCACTAGTGTGTGTTGGTGTGAGGGTGTGGGTGTGTTGACAGCAGTAAATTAGTTGCAACAATTGACACATTTTAATGTAAACGATGCTGACATTTCTGGGCATATCCCTGGTGGTTGAGCTGCTGTTGCACCAACGCTTCGTCATCTGTGAAAATAGGGCACTTCCAATTCAAGCGGAGTCCCCCATCGGGAATGTAAGGCCAACGAGTGCTTCAATATTTCAATGAGCAAAAAAATGACATCAAATACCCATTGATATCCGAATGACCTTCGTGTGACAGCCAGTTTTACAGTTTTCGAACCACTGGAAGATAGTGGTCTCTAGTTATTGAAAGTGTATCCGCAGATGTTAATCCTTGCTATTTTCCTTGCAGCGGCTCCACGGACAAACAACACTTGGACTCCTCCAGCGACTCGGAGATGGAGGGCAGCATGTTGCCCAGTCAAAGCGCACAACAACAACAACAGCAGCAGCAGCAGCAGCAGCAGTCACCCAACAACAACGGCCTGCATCAACAGCAACTGCAGCATGCTGCCGCCGAACAGAGCCTGCATCATCACCCCCATCAGCAACACCATCCCGCCGCCACCGGGCCCACAAGCGTTGTCAGCAAGACAGGTCACAGTGGGGCAGGCGGTGGTGGCGGGGGCGGGGGCGGTGGCGGTGGCGGTGGCGCCGCAACAGCAACACAAATGCAAATGCCACCCCTCTCCGCTGCCGTCGCCTACTCCCACCTGCATAGTGTGATGGGCGCCATGCCCATGACCATGTACGACATGGGGGAGTATCAGCACTTATGATTCTAGTTGGAGGCGGCTGCTGCCGCTACCAGCGGGAGCGGAAGCGGAGGCGGGAAGGCAAGCGGAAACGAAAGCACGAGTCCGAGTGCCACCGCTAACAGCAGCAATGCCTACGGGTGGTCAATGTCAGTGCCGTCGGCGCACTATCAGCGCCAGCAGGATCTGTCGGAAAGCTTTTACTTCTGATTCGATCCGAACCGATCCTCGAGCGGAGCTGGGCGGAACCTTAGCAATATTTAGAGAGCGCATTGTCGTAGCAACAAATTCTATTTAATCGTTAGACACAGCAACACTTTCTGCATAAGCTAGCATTTTTCTGCAATCAATGGAAAGAGAGAGATACGGAGATATACAGAAAGAGGGGGAGGGAGAGGGAGAAAAAAGGCACCACGCTGCAGCACAAGCTTTTGGCAACCCAAAAAAACCTAGAGAGAAAACTTGCAAGAAAACTGCATCGATCTGTGTAAATAGCTAGGCTAGGTTTTAGTTTTAGAGCGGTTGGAGGCGGAGGCAGGTACAACCGAAATGCAAATCAAATCGAAATGTGCAAACAATTATACATATACGACTATTATATATTATTATATACATCTGTATCTACTTAATGCATAAATTATACACTTTTAATTGTAGCCTTTAGTAATCATATTTTTGTTAACAATAAATTCTATTAAATTATTTTCAAATGATTGTCAAAATCAAAGAGTTTTGCCTGTTCCCACGCCTACATATACCGATATTATGTACCTATGTATGTATGTGTGTTACCTATAGTATGCGCGCATTACCCACACTGACCACAACAACGAGAGCCGGTCGAGTCGGCTTAATCCACGGCGACAGGTAAGCCAGCTAATGCTAATGGCCATGTCTAATGGGCGTCGTCGGCGCGTGCGTTCCTCTTACACGCGACGCGACCTCTTCCTCTTACAGATCTTGTTCATCGCAGCACGTCCCATGTAATGAGTCTCTTCGTAAAGTTTGAACAGCACTTGGCAACGACAGGACTGTCGGGGGCGGCGCTTGGCAACCGAACCGTGTCGGTGGGCAGGGGTGTCCGGGTGTCTATGTCTGGTTGTGGGGGTGGATGCTGTCTGACTGGTTGATTTGTTTATTGATACTGTACTTACATATTGCAGACGTCGTCGCTTCCAGCCAAAGCCTTCCCAACATCGGCCTTGCCCAAACCCGTATCCCCCAGTATCGTTGCCAGGGAGAAAGGACACCAGACCAGCAGCAGCACACACGTGTCTGGGCTGAGACTGTCTCTGACTCTGATTGAGATTGATGGTCACATATCTGGTTACAAAATATTTTGACTTCTTTTATCTTGCGGCGGCTTTTGCCGATAATTTAATTACGGCCTTAATGTGTTTGGTCTTCTGCCTTGTCGAAAATGAATTTAATGACCGCCTACAGGATATTTGGAGGCGGCAATAGGAAACCTTAGCATTTGCACCTTTCATTGAAGATTTCATTGAAGATTCTTCTCCGAAAATGTGCATACAAAACGGATTACAATAAAACCGAGTTCCACATGCCATCAGCATTTATTTGTCCGGTCCTTTAGGTCAAAGAAAATATCTGAAATGCCTTAAAGGGCTTATGAGGATACAATGGGTATTGATAATGCAGGACATGCATGTGCGTCTTGTGGGCCTTTTATTATGATCCCATGGAGCTGTCAATGATCTGTCAACCGTTTTTATGCTATTGCTGGAAAAATAACCTCATTGACCTGGATACCTTAGGAATACACACAGTATGTATATTCTCGAGAGTTGTAGGTTTCATTGGTTATGGCTATGTTAATTTTTTAGTATAGCTCAAATCGTTATATTACTTTTCTCCTTTTTTTGCGCTTTTTTGGGTGGATGGATTCACTGAAGACCAAGCGCAACATAATTTTTGTCTAGAAAATATACCTTTTTGTTGCATCCCTTCGTTATAATTCACTGTACAATTTTAAATGTTTGCGGTAAATAAGTAAAACATTCGACTCTGTAAACCATTTAGGGTTTCCGCCCAACCTCCTGAAATGGATTTCTAGCTATCTTTGTTACAGGTCTCAAAGAATCCTTCAAAAACTCCCTCTCTTCACCAGTAAAGGTTTCTTCGGGAGTACCACAGGGCAGCCATCTAGGCCCCTTGCTCTTCACACTCTTTATTAATGGCTTGCCTTCGATATTAACATACTCTCGAGTACTTATGTATGCGGATGATGTTAAACTCTGTGTCCAGCATAAGGACATTTCATTTCATTCTCGCTTGCAATCCGATCTCAATAACTTTCAGTCATGGTGTTGTACAAACTTGTTACATCTTAATGCCTCTAAATGCAAAGTTATGACATTTCACCGTTCTAGCCCCTTGTTGGCTCCCTATACCCTATTTGGTGGTTCTCTTGAGAGAATTACCCTGGTGGATGATCTTCGTGTTATGTTAGACCCCAAGTTAAAGTTTTCCGAACACATTTCTACCATGGTAAATAAGGCCATGGGCGTGCTTGGGTTTATAAAGAGGTGGTCAAAGGAATTTGACGACCCCTATATAACAAAAACTCTCTATACCTCGCTTGTTCGTCCGATCTTAGAATACGGCTCCTGTGTATGGTGCCCTCAGTACAAAGTACACCAGGACCGTATAGAATCAGTACAGAAAAACTTTTTACTCTTTGCTCTGCGGGGCCTTAACTGGGATGCGGGTGTAAGACTCCCATCTTACTATAGTAGACTATTATTAGTAAACCTCCCATCCTTAGTTAACCGTAGAAAAATGCTTGGTGTGATATTTATGCACAACTTGATCAGGGGTGACATAGACAGCCCTGATCTGTTGAGCCGCATAAACTTCACGATTCCTATTAGACTGACTAGAAATTTTATACCGTTGTTCCTTCCACTTTGTAGATCGAATTATTCCTTGCATGAACCGTTTAGGGTCTTATGCTCTGATTATAATTCCCTCTAGCATATTATATCCACCACTAGTTCTCTTCCTCTCATTAAATTACTAATCCTTAGTAATTAGTAATTGTAGTGGTATTTGCATTTTGAATGCATACCTAGTTCACTTAGTAAGTTTAGAGCTAATTTTCCTCAAATATTAGTCTAATAGCTATCTTTCCAGAGTTCTGCTGGTTTCAGACGGGCCATTTGACGGTGCAGTAATTGCATCGCCTCTTGTAAGATGCAGTCATTGCATGTCAACGTCCAAGATTATGGGTATCTTAGCAACTATCGCAAGCATTTGGAGATGTATGTATATATAACAATTATAACAATTATGCGCCCAATTTTCAGCCTCGCCTCCAACGGAAAGACTCTCTTTATGTTTCGCCCCAGATATCTGCTGTCTTCTGCTGTCATGTTAATGTTCTTGTTAAGAAGTAACGGATCTTTGCCTAGAGCTTCAGAGAACCATCGTTAGCAAAATCGATTCAATAGTATCGAAATAATATTTGTATAAAATATATATATATTATATATTAATAAATTATTAAATAAACGCAATATAATAATTATATTACTCTTAATTTATTGATTAATATTAATTAGTAATAGTGTAGTACGTTACGTTTTATGGTTACGTTTTTAGATAGTTGCGTGTAGTGTCTACTATGCTGACTAGGGCTGCAAAATCAAATTTCAACTGTAAAAAAAGTGAAGCGGGCGCGTACGCTACCTCACACTCCGAAGTCCAAGGAGCAGCAGGGTCCTGTGCCGACAAAGTGTGGGAGGAAAAAATTAACATATAAACTTCAACTAATTTTAGCTTGTGCAAAAATGTCGCGGCTTTTATGAAAAAACAAAAGGAACAAAATTTTTAAAACTTACACATTTCCCCTTCAGGTGTCGCTTTTGGTGATACCATAAAAATGTAGTTAATATGTAGCAAATGTGTAATTTACGTGTAGTTACCATGAATGAAGAATCATCAAGAAATTAATTTAGTGGAAATTTTTTTACTTAAACCTCATTTTATAAACAATTCCCATAAAGATGGCAATTAAAATTAGCCACTTTTATATAAAATTGACTACATTATCGGGTAAAACTATTTGTTCAGAGCTGAGGGTCCTAGTTAGCTAGTAATATTCAACAGAACATAAAAATCGAGGAATGTGATCGACCTCGAATAAGCCGCGGACGTAGTCACACTGAGTACAGCTGATCGTAGCGTGCGCGTTTTAATTTTAAAAGCGGACGATTTTCCCATTCGTCAAATTTTTGTTCGAAATGCAAACTGAAAGCAATGGAAAACGTAAACGACCAAAGAAGAAAGGCAATCGCTTCATGCGAAACGCCAAGGGCTTTGCCAAACAGGGAATCTTCGGCCGCGGGACGCATATAGACGATGAGCAGTTTAGTTACTTCATCAACATTCTGGATGCCATGAAGGCTGGGTTCGACGATGTGGAGGAGCGCGGTGAGTAAAAATTGTTTCTTTGTCAGTCGCATTACTTATTTACTTCCTGTGCAGTGAACATGGCCAACAATGTGTTTGAGCAGACGAAAGATCAGGAGATCCACTTGGCCTCCAATCAAATTGTGTCCAAGGCATTGGAATCGCTTATTGGATTTGTGGACAACGAGCAGCTGGAGCGATACTTCAACAAATTTGGGGACAGCCTGCGCCCCTTGTGCTCGGATAGATTTGCTTCGCATGTCCTACAGAAGATGCTTGAAATTGCCTTTTTGCGCGGCCTGGGCAAGGCAGCTGCCCAGGAAGTCAGCGATGGTCCGACCACAACAAAGCGAGCTAAGCCAGATGCCGCACAAATCGAGGAGGAATACAATTTGGAAACTGAGTTCAGCGACGACCACAGAGAGAAGTGTCGTCAGTTCGTGGTGCGGATCTCGAAGTTCATGCTCAACAACTTGGAAGACTTTGTGTGGGACAACTGCGCGAGTCACATCATGAGAACTGCGATATTGTGCCTAGTGGGCATGCATGTTCCGAAAATAGCATTCGAGAAAGGAGGGGCTGAGATGGCCAAGCATCGCAAGCTGTATACAGTGCCCGAGGACTGGCACGAGGTGATGAAAGAGTTTCCCCAACGCCTGGAAATGTGGCCACAATTCGTTGACTTCCCTTATCAAGAGCACTCATCCGCCTTATTAGGCGTCATCTGCCTAGCCTTGAGTGTGGCCGACAAAAGTTTTCTAAAGCACTTCGGCAAGAAAATATTATTGCAAAGCCTATTGAAGGCTAACGAAGAAAATGACGATGCACTTGAGAAAAAGACGGACGCAAAAATTGAAATTGAAGACAATGATGGGGAGGAGAAGCCGACGGAAGAGAAAGAAAAGAGCGCTGAGGAGAAAAAGGACGATCCTATCCTGCCGAAAGTGTTTCACCATCAGAGCTCCGTCATCCTTCTAGAGACTATTCTGAGCGTGGCGGGTGCCAAGCTGCTGACCCAGCTATATGCGATGCTGTTCAGTGGCCGTGTCGGTTACCTCGCCAAACAGCAACAGACAAATTTTTCCGTCCAACGACTTCTTCAGAACATGAAAGAGGTAACAGACTTCGAGTCTATTTTTGCAGAGCTTCAGCCCCACGTGGAAGGGCTCCTGAAAATGGGATACACTGGCGTGGTATCTGCCTTGTGTGCCGCCTGCTTACGGCTGGGGTCCAAACAGGCCCAGATGATAGCCATTCTACAGAGTTCGCTTCATGTCAGTGGCGACAAAGAGAAGTCTAAGCTGTTCTTTAACTGCCTTATCAAACTGAAACCCTCTGAGATTCTGGCCAGCGATGAGTCGGGATTTGTCCATCTGCATGGCTCGCTGATTGCTCAGCATGTACTGCAGTTCAACAAACCCATTTTCCTGGTCAACTGCATCCTCGATCTGCCAGCCGCTCAACTAGCCCAGATCTTTAACACGCCCAACGGCTCCCACATAGTCGATGCCTTCATGCAGAGTAAGTTCATTGGCGAGAAGTCGCGTGAGCGCCTGATCCGTCAGCTAGATGGCTTCTATGTAGACTTGGCCATTACCCGCCACGGATCCCGTGTCCTCGAGCAGTGCTTCAAAGCCTCGCAAGAGGCGCAGAAGCTGCGCATTGCTAAGGAGCTCATCACGAAGGCTAACATGCTGAAGGGTTCGCCCTTTGGGCGCCTCATCTACGCAAAGTATCGCCTGGATACTTACAACCTCTCGCCCACTCAGTGGCAGGCGAGCTTGTCAAAGCAGTTGGATCCGGAACAGCCCGAGACAAAGCGGAAGCCAGCCAAGACAGCAGCCGAAGCGTTTAAGGATATACTAAGCTAGGATTTTGATTTGTTGACAAAATAAAATGTAATTCCACACATGGATAGTGTACTAGGGTTGTTGCTTTACTTTTCAACAGCAGCTGATAAGCTATTGCATTGCGCGATGCGATGCTTTGTTTCATTGAGTCCGACAAAGCCGAAGCATGTGGCTGTTGCAGGGGCTATTTATTTGCTGTGTACTGGCCACCACTTGGGCCTTTGCGGATGAGGCCATCTTCGAGGACGAGGACATTTACAACCAGGCGCTGCCGCCAGTGCCACACACGGGAATTACGGCTCCAGGCACCAAATGGTGCGGGCCAGGCAACACCGCTGCCAACTTCGATGACCTGGGCAGAGAGCGGGAGACGGACAAGTGCTGTAGGTCCCACGACCACTGTGAGGAGATAATCGAGTCGCACAGCACACTGCACGGACTTCCCACCAACACGGATTGGTTTCCTATGTGAGGGCCGCCGTAGGCTCAGTGGAAAATCGATATCATGTCGTGACTTGACTGCTTTTTTTTACAGCCTCAAGTGTACCTGCGAGCAAGAGTTTATCAACTGTCTTCAGGCGGTCAACAGTCTCACCTCCAACACATTGGGCCGAATCTACTATGGCAGCCGGAGAAATTGCTTCGCCAAGGGATATCCCAAAACCGGCTGCAAACAATACCAGGAAGGCACGTTCCGCAAGCGCTGTATACGCTATAACGTTGACAAGGCCTCGGCAAAGATCTGGCAGTTCTATGACATGCCATTTTACACAATCCATCACACGAAAGCCTGACCTGTCCTGACCATGATAATTTTTCTGATGTTAGCTGATAAGTTTATTTGTTAGAATTTAAAAGTTTTAACCAGCTAAATCAGGGGCGTACTCAGAGGGGGAATGCATATTATAGATTTTGATAGACCTGGTACGAAAAAACGAAAACGGTTTTATTGGTTTTAAAAATATTCTCTAAGAAGATGAATACCTATTTTAAAACGTTTTAGTCTATTTTCGTAGTATTTTCGTTGGCACTCAGAAGGAAGTACATACCTCGTAAACAAGACTTCATCAGCTTCTTTCAACGTCGAAAAAACGTTGACTCCACAATGGAAAAACACCATTACAGATTTGAATTTTCCATTCATATCATATCTAGGGAATGATTATACAAAACTCAAGCTTTCGAAATTCGAAGTAATGGGATTTTGATTTGAATAGAATCGCAGGCTTATGTATTTGTAAATAATCGGAGGCCTTATCGCTGGCTAATGCCATAGTTCAATCTTATTTGCTCTGGGCATCAACATGTGTGTAGAAGGCCAGGTCGTAAAACTGCCAGCGTTTCGGCTGTGTTTCATCCACTTTATAGTTCAGGCAGCGCTTCTCGAACATCTCCACCTGATTCTCTCGACACGAGACGGTCGGATGACCATAGGCAAAACAGACTTCTTTGGTCCGAAAGTATATGCGGCCCAATGTCAACGAATGTCCGTTGCGCAGGGAAGTGAGGCAATTTCGAAAGGCTGATTCGCAGGTACAGGAGAAGCTGGAAGCGGAAAGAAAAGCATCCGTTAGCGAGAGGTAAAACGTATAGATCCGAGTGTTAAATCTTACATGGGGAAGATCCCATCGTTGCTCAGGCCATAGTCTTCCTGCTGCGGTGATATTTTATCCTTGCAGTTGTCGTGCGAGCGACAGCATATGTCCAGCTCCCTTTCGATGCCCAGATCATCGTAATTGATCGCTATATTGCCTGGACCACACCATTTCGTGCCCGGTACAATTATGCCCAGGCCAAGAATGACATCGAAGGCACCGGCAAGCGCCAATACAGCAGCTACAAAATGTTGAAGGTGCATAATAGACAAAAGTAATCAGACGACTGATCAAAGGGGATTTTCGCAAAGAAGAAATTCGTCAACTGGATCGTCGCTACGGCTACATCGAATAATAAACACAGATTACGATTAAAGCCACCAGATCCGTTTTCTATGAATGAATGTACATATATTGTATTGAAGAATAGGAGATGCAAAGATTTGTGTATAACTTTTAGAGGTTTTATTGAGACAAGAATTCAGAATTGGAGACTTTATTTTAGAAAGAATTTATGTTCCGTTCCAAACCCCTCTAAGCACAGACCGGCTATTCCCAGTATATTTTATATTATATTCTGTTATATATGAAACATTTTGAATAATGCGTGTTCCATTGTACAATATGGCTACACTTGTGGGGATAAACATTAACTTTTTCAGAGTTTTCAGGATTTAATCAATGGATTTCATCTTGCAGAGATGATTAACTGGTATCATCTTGACCTCGTCGTTTATCTTGCAGACGAGCACGTCGCCTTCCTGCTTGGACAGTACCCGGCCAACCGACTCCCGTTCCTCGCCATAGATCACCTTGAACTCATCGCCACTGTTGGGCGGCACAGGTGCCAAGTGCTCGCTGACAATGGAGACGCTGCGGTCTTCTTGGCGTAAGAATACAGAGCACACACCATTGGAAACAGTGCGGATAATACCTGTTTGTCCAACAAGATCGGTGTCGTCGTGCGTATGAATCCGAACTTCAATATCGGTTGTGCACCAGTCGCCCATCGACGAGTCCAGGCTGGCCCCCGGTGTCTGGGGATTGTACGGGGATTGTGGTATACCACCGGGAGTGTTTGGTGAATAGGTCGATGGCGATGGGGTATTCAAGTAGCCAACTGGATAAGGCGAAGGCGCAGGACTGGGACTTGGATTGAATGGGCTGTAGCTTCTATCCGATCCGTATAAAGTACCAGGAGTTTGGGGGGCGAACTGAGATGTCATCTGATAGCCGGGAGTACTTGGATTGTAGCCGGGGCTTGGGCTGGGCTCCTCCAGCGAATAATCGAAATCGTTGTTTCGCGCCGGTGTTGTGTTTGCTGTCGGATCCCAAGCACCATGGCGTGGCGTCATGCTGCCATCGTGCGACGGTGTCATTGTGCCATAAGGAGTACGAGTATCTGTGTCCCAGTTCGGCGTTTGACTTCCGACCAAGGGGGTCTTAGATCCTGCCGCAGTGTAGCTTGGCGTTTGTGCCCCGTAGCCGGGCGTACGAGCTGGCGTGCGCCCATATGTGGAGACGCTTCCCTCTTTGCCGGGAACCCCAACGATGGCAATATGATTGCGATCGACCGATATCGTTTGACATGAAGTATGGAGCTCCACACGAGCTGTGGCCTCAGTTGCGTCCTTAACAATTCCCACAGCACCTGCAGAGATCACAAATAAGTCATATACATAATGATAAATGTACTGCTCAACAAAGAAAAATACCTTTATAGGGTCCGCCACTAATCTTGATGGTTTTACCCAGAATTTCGCGATCACGAGTCACGCGGAAACCACCTCTACCGCCGCGCGCCCCTCCGCGGGCTCCTCCTCGTCCGCCAGACGGATGCATGGGCGATTGAATACGCGGTGACATGAATCCAAGTCCGCCCATCGAACCAGCAGGATTTACGTTGGTCTTGCTGCCTCCAGCCAACTGCAAGTGCCGTGTCTTGCACACAAATATGCCTCCGTTTTCTGTATACATGCGGCAATGAAGGAACGCCAAGCTGCGATACAAGTGCTTGATTTCTCCGGAACGTCCCTGCGAATTATAATCCGATTATTATTGTTATGAGAAATACTTCCAACGAACTCGTTGGTACTCACAGCATGAGGACCCTCCATAACCTTAACAATGTCGCGACGGCGAATCTGATTTTGGTCAGCATCCAGGGCCACAGTATTGCGGTTCTCTCGTCGCTTATGCAAAGCGGTTGGCTTGCATTCAATGCACTTTCCATTCATGCCCAGTACATGAAAGTTCTCACGCTCCAAACGCACAATAACACCCACATTCTGAGAGCTGATTTAAAAAATTCCCATTATTCCGATACCTGTTAGAGTCTGATGTGCGTTGGAAAATAGTGCACCTTAGACTTACTCAAGTTGCACCAAATCGCCCCATTGGAACTGGCCCAGACAGTCAACGCCTGTAGCCACATCAGAGCAGAGCTGCAGATCCCGTGGCAAAACCTCCAATTCGTGATTGGTCAAATCAGAAACGAGCACCACTCGCAAGGGCTCTACACGGATAATAAGTCCAGTTTCGCCCTCATATCGACCTGCCAACACCCTGGCATGGTCTCCAGTTTTAAAATACTTGCGCAGCTCACTCGCTTTAAAAATTAAAGGATCCTAAAAAAAAAATCATTATTTAGTGGTGTACACAGTATGAGGAATCGCATGACGTACCTTTAGATCCTGATGCTTGGGCATAACCGTGATCATGGTGCCGTCAATGGCCACAATCTTCGCCTGCAAGTTCTCCAAGTCTCCCACGCAGACCTCAACATTGTCCCCCATGGAGAACGAGTGAGTCGAAGTGGGGTCATCCTTGACATTGCCCAAAAGTTCCAGATTCACCTCTGTTAGGGCACAGTAATGCTATTATGTGACAAAGGACGTTGGATATTTGATATGAATTACCTTCTGGAGATTCTTCGAAGCGCTCTAGCTCGGCTAAGGTGGGCTTTACGCCGTCTGATAGAATGGCTGACATGGTGAAGTTCTTGTAGAGAAAGCCCTTTCGCGAATACCGATTACCCTCAAATAGTAGAAAATCGCCATCTGAGTGTACCTCACCACCAATTGCCCTAGAAAACAAGTCGTTTATAAGGATTGGAATGCACAGCTGGTGATTCTGTACCTCACGGCTTCTGGATCAAACGGTTTTGCTACAGGCCGGCGTTTCTTCTTGCGCTTGCCATCGTCAGTTTCCTACAAGAGGAATTTAGTACATTTTGGGATTAGGTTGGTCCCAATTTCAACCATTTGCATTATAATTACTGTTGCTGTTGTCCTCAAGGCACCACGCATTCTTGTATAGTCGATGCGGGGTAGGAGTTTTAGATGAACTTGATTTTGGGCCAGATCGACGTAGTCCACCTGCGCAATATCGTCCTTGTAGAGTCCTCGCTTTAGGCGCACCCACTGCTTGACCTTGAGGCCGACCTGTTCCTTGACCACCTTTAAAACATCCGTCATTTCCTTGATGGGCACCATCTCTTGTTTCCATTTGCCCATCCGAAGATTTCCCACATTATCGATTGCGGTTTTGACGTGGGTCTGCTTATAGGCTTCTAGATAAATGTATCCCTTAACGCCCTCGGGAGCAATAATCGATTTGATCTGGATTGGGTCATCCGTATTTAGGTATGTTAAGAACTTTCGCATCAACAGTAAGGCGGTGGCCTTCTCCTCTCCAATGCGGCACTTAACCATCCATAAATTGGGATCCCTACGCGGATTCGAAATATACGTAGTAATGTCGAGTATGTATATGTATAGTATATCCTATCAAACTCACTTAATGCCAGGCAGTAGGGTCTGCTGGGTGATCTCATCCGACATCTCTTCCCCGCCATCGCCAAAGTGTCGTTTTGCAATGGATTCGTCAGCATATTTTTTTCTCAGGTACTCTTCGATCTCATCTTCCTTTTGAGTGCTTTTGAGTGAATACAATATATATAGTGCAATTTGTCCATATTTAATTTCAGGTATACTTACTCCCATAGATTTGTACCTCGCCGCCTTATTTCGATGTCCCTGGCCGTTGGACCGAGTTCATCAATCTCGTTTCCAACAATTCCTATCTCATTGGCACCTTCCTCCCATTCGTCATCCTCGTCGACCTTTTGATGGTGAGAGCCAGATTCAAGGATTAGACTACAAATTTGAATTGGCAAGCACTAGCGTACAAACCTCGTCGTCCACCTCCGCCTCGTCTATGATGAAGCCACCAAAACGTTCCTTTTTCTTTTTCTTTCGTGGATGATCGTCATTCTCTTCTTCTTCGTATTCCTCGGAGTCAATATCTTCTCCAGGCGGCTCCTCCTCTTCCTCCCCCGATTCGTCGCTTTTCGGCCGGTTTCCACGACCCTGAGGGGAGTCGGACCCAGAGCCCGAATGAGCCGACCGAGATCGGGATCTTGAGCGGGAGGATCTGGACATAGACCTTGACCTGGACCTCGAACGCTGGCCAGACTTGGATCTGACGCTGCGCTGCGACTTATTTGAAATCGATCCATCTTCTGAACCACTGTCCGACATATTGCTGACTTCGGAGTCTGACATTCTATGTAAAATCTGTAAACGTGTGCGACTGCGAGCAAGCACATCCCGAGAAAACATATTTAAAACAAATCGTGAGCATCTGAACGTTGAAATATTGGACGATGGTGCGCCATGGCAAGAGAAAAACATAGACTTACGGTATGTTCACTTAGTTTTACAGCATCTGCGCCCGGAAATTTTCATCAAATCTAAATTTTCCAAAATCTTTTGATGCCACGCTAGAGATGGCAGCAGTGCAGCAGTGTGACCGTATAAATATATTAAAGTGTTGTTGAATACGTTTTACCATGAAATAAGAATTTTAGCGGAGTTCAGGTGGAAGATATAGTAGTCTTTTTTAAAGATATAAAATATAAGATGAATCTAAAAGAAGAATTAGTATTATTATTGTTAATTTTATTTGCCGCGGCTTAGATGAAGCTGATATCCTGTTTAAATAAAGGGGGTTTGATTGTGTTAAGTTTACGGTATATTTTTTAAATGAGACAGTATACTTTGGTATATCTCTGACACTATTCTTGATCGATAAGTCCGTAAAAGTATTTTTTAGGATTGTCCAGTTTTTTTTAAAGACTAACCCTCTTGTCCAATGCACCAATGTAGAAACCGTGTAGAAACGCACCTATCAGTACCGAATTCCTGATCGTTTCCCGTCAAAATCTCAATTTGTTCAAAAATTTCCGGAAAAATGCATGTCAAAAAGTGGATAACGGAGGTTTTTCACGCTGGCGCTTCTAAGGAACTTATATGAAAATAAAACGCAAAATTTTTTCTAATTTCAACATGTAGTTAATTTGTAGCAACTGTGTAGTTACCTTGTAAGGACATGACTTTAGTGCAAATTGTTGTTGACCGTTTTTGTTTAAACTTCATTTTACAAACAATCCAGTAACAAAGAGTAATTCAAATTAACTAGTCTTGTACGAAATTGATCTATCAATCGGATCTAATTATGTATTCAGGTATGGAAGTCCTGGCCAGCTAGTTATATCAAATCGAATATCAACATCGAGGAATAAGGTTTTTAATCCTTGGCGACGAACGATTAACCCAATGTAGACCATGGGGGTATTTTAATATTCCACCGAAATGAATGAAAATTTAATCATTTTAGCGCAGTTCAGGTGAAAGACTTCGTGTTTTTTTAACTTCAGAGAAAAGATGGAATGGATCTACAAGAAGAATTAACATTCAGTAATATTTTCCGCCAATTGCCTCAAGTCGTTGAACTGTTTATATAGAGGGGTCTTCAGTGGGCTAAGTTCGTTTTTTCATCGGTATATGTAATTATTATGGTTTAAAAACAAATTGTGGGCTCTTTAACGTTAATAATTACAATTGATTTATTAAATTGAACCTGTGCTTCAGTGCAAAAGGCAAAATAACATTCAGTTGTCTCGAAAGGTTCTTAAATATTTATATCAACCTCTCACATCTGGCGCAGACTTATGTATGTATGTGCGAATACATATGTGCTATGTGCATAGTATATACTATGTATTTCTATAACCTGAGAGTTTGGCAATAAAAAATGTCTCGTTTTCCCGAGTAGATTAAGGCATTTGATTATATCTGTCGTGGATCGAAAGCGCTGCTGCTATAGTTAAAAGAGAGCGAGAGAGAGTGGTGTTTCAACCAACGTTCGGTAAGGTGTGGTTCGAGACAAAAACATTAACGGGGTAGGAAATTCTGTTCTCTTCCACCTGTGAAGATCGAATAACATTAGCCGAATTTCTGAATAGCGTTTGTTGTGTCAAATCAATATCCAATTCCATGCGCGCAAATACATATGTACATATATGTATATCAATTATATCTGTTGCAGGTTGAAGAGTTGCTTGAATCTCCCACTGCGTGGTAACTGTGGACATGAACACTGCGGAAGCCAGCGTCAACCAAAGCCATCATGCGACGCCGCCCACCAGCAATGAGCGTAAGTTTTTTGCTGCATTTTCTCCAAGCTCGTGCAACGTCATTGATTTTCTTTTGAGCAGCTGTCTGCGAGGACTACGTTCTTCATGTGCATATGCCGAACAAAAGTTTCAAGGCAGTTCGGTTCAACGAAAACGAAACTGTGTGCAATGTCATCAAAAAGACAGTTGAGGACCTTAGCAGGGATGTCCGAGTGCCAAGTATTCAGCGATACGCATGCCGAATGCTCAATATGATCACTAAAGAGGAACTGTGGCTGGCCAGGACAACTCCGATGCGCAAGGTTCTGACACACATCTTGTCTCCCGGCTGCTCAAACGTGGATTGTCCAAACAACGATGCTGCCAAAGCGGAGCTTGGCGAGGGCAAACTGCAGTATCAGGACCATGGCAGAAGAGTCATTACCAACAGAGTGTGGCGAGTGGAAATGAGAGTCCGCTATGTGCCAAACAGTATTCAAGATCTGTTCGACGAGGATAAAGCCACATGCTTTTACTACTTCGATCAGGTGCATAATTCACATATCAATCAATACAGTTCAGCCTTTTTAAAAACGTTTCTGGCCGTGTTAGGTGAAAGAAGACTTCATTCATGCCAATCTAACGTCAGTGGATACTGATCTGGCTGTGCAGCTGTGTTGCTTGGGAATTCGTCACTTCTTCAAGAACATTACTATGAAAGCACCGGACAAGAAGCAAAACATTGATTACATTGAAAAGGAAATCGGATTTAAGAGTTTTCTTCCGCAATCTGTGATAAACACAACAAAGCCAAAGAATCTTAAGAAAATGATACAAGTCGGATATAAAAAGGTCTATAACTATAACGACATTGAGTACTTGACGCGGTATGTATTGAATAGAATTTACATATGTAATCAGAATATAATGATATAATAAACATTGCAGGTTCTTCGATCTTTTGAAAAATATTTATTTAACGAACTATGAGCACTTTGCGGTTACCTTGAGCTCGGCCTGGAATATATCTGGTATTCTGCACGTTGGTCCTCACATTGGTAAATATTTAACACATATATTCACACATAGATATTCCATATCTTCTTCGTTCGATTGCAGGAATCTCTTACCAGACTCATCCACAAGCAAGCTTGACGAATGTGGCTCAGTTCAAAGATGTCGTTGCCATCAAAACCTGCACTCTACCAAAGGAAAAGCTGCCCAAGCCCATGGACCATACCCCTGAAACTGAGTCAAATAATTTAAATTGCAATTGCCAGAAAATCAAAACTCAAATCAAAATCTCTGCGTCCAATAATGTAGAAGATCTGGTTATAACCTGCAATGGAATTAATGTGAGTTAATTATTGACACCACTGTCATTGTAGATTATTATATATCTTGCTTTCAGACTGCCGAAAGCATTGCCGACCTTATTGACGGATATTGCAGGTTGCTCTCAAAAGACCTAGAATTTACAATTTGGCAACGAGAGACGAGCACATCGAGCGATGACAGCACAGCGACAAAGACCAATGATCTCCCGATCGAGCCAGCCCAAGCCCAAGCCGCGTCGAGTCCGAGAAAACCGATGCTGACGGATGATTATGCTGAAATTGGTTTATTGGAAGGAGAGGGTGATTACTCAACTCCCACTGTACGAAATTACGAGCTGGATAGAGCCCTTATCACTCCGAGTGCTAAGATTGGAGTTGGTCAGTTTGGAGATGTTTATGTGGGCACCTACACTCTCCCCAAGGCTGCCAAGGGCAAGCACTCGGATGCAAATGACAAAGATAATAGGGGCGATCCAAAATCGAGCAATGGTAGACCCGACGTTATTCAAGTTGCGATAAAAACCTGTAAAGCAAACGACGATCCAGAAAAGACGGAGAACTTCCTGGCCGAAGCTTGTGCGTGCATTCATCTTCATTCATTGATATTCCATGTCCCTTAACCTGGTATTTGATTTTAGATATTATGCAGAAATTCGACCACCCACACATTATACGTTTGATTGGAATATGCAGCGTAATGCCAATTTGGATAGTCATGGAGCTGGCAAAGCTTGGCGAGCTGCGGGCCTATCTAAAGGCAAACAGCGACAGGTGCTTAACCAGACTGAAACATAATCAAATTTTGATTGCATTTATTAACAATTAATCAAATTCATTAGATTAACGCATGGAACCCTGCTTAAATACTGCTACCAGCTATCAACGGCCCTTAGCTATTTGGAATCTAAAAAATTCGTACACAGAGATATTGCGGCACGCAATGTACTCGTTAGCTCTCCCACGTGTGTTAAGGTGGGTACATTATATGATATTCTTTCGGTCAAAGCTTAAAACGTGCCAACTCTCTCATCCAGCTGGCTGATTTTGGGTTATCTCGGTGGGTTTCCGACCAATCTTATTATCACTCCACTCCCACAGGTAAGCCACAGTCATTATCATTAGCCATTTTCATTAGAATTTAATGGGATATATTGGTTTTTAGTTGCCCTGCCTATTAAGTGGATGTCTCCCGAATCGATCAACTTTCGAAGATTTACGACTGCCAGCGATGTGTGGATGTTTGGTATGTACCTTCGTATCTATTTATCTTTAATATTTGTAGATATGAATGAACTGTTGTTTAGGTGTTTGCATCTGGGAGATACTTATGCTGGGCGTAAAGCCGTTTCAAGGCGTGAAGAACGGTGACGTGATTTCGAAGCTGGAAAACGGAGAGCGGCTACCTCTGCCGCCAAACTGCCCCCCTCGATTGTACTCGCTAATGTCGCAGTGCTGGGCCTACGAACCATTAAAAAGACCCAATTTTAAGCGCATCAAGGAGACATTGAAGTAAGTTTATTCCCAACGCCCAACACTACCAACTTGTTAGAAATGCTAATTGTTTATTTCAGTGAAATTCTGATGGAGGATAGTATTAGCACATCCGAGACACTGAAACGGGAACACCGAAGATTGGTAACCATGTCCTGGGTGGGCAGTGAGGAGTCTGACATTCCGCCGTTGAAGCCAGCAAGAGCAATGCATGACTCTGGTAGGCCACAGTTCTAAAAAATAGAAAAGTCGCGGTATCTGTACTGAGTTTTTATTTCCACATTTTTAGATATGCCAAGCATGATGTCTAAGGTGGATGAGGCAACGGGAATACCTCAAACCTATATCATTGCACAGGATCCTGCGGTGCTGGCCAGGCTGATGATGGAGAACCAAAAGCGAGGGATCAATCCTGCAGCTTACACCACGCCCGCTTCGGTATTTAATACTCTAGCTGTAGGAATAGATGACAGCAAATCGAACGTTTCACTTAAGACTACCAAGCTTCCAGCAGCCGATCTGTTGAAGCTTGACCCTATCGCCGAATCTGAAAAGCAGAAAATGCAATATTCCTCTAACGCAAATTCTGCTCAAACACCAAACCCCCTAACCGCCCTTGACCCATCCACTGTAGCAAATACCCTTGCTTATGCTAGGCCACCGCCGCAAGGAATATTTTCTGGAAGTCTGCCCTCAAAGAGTAGTTTCGTTGTTTGTCCACCGCACATGGAAGAGCAAATGCAAATGGATATGTCTAATCCGGCAATTTCGAAAACAGCAGGTTATAGCCTGTACGGTAGTCTTGAGAGACACCAACCTGCACCGGCCGTTAGCAAGGGCATCCATTCAAAAGGAGGCAGTCTGGAGCGTCACAAATCATTGATGTCGGCTCAAAATTTGGTTTTCTACAACACAAAACCGCCACACTGCAGCAGCACGTCAGAGCGTTCGAGGAGCATGGAGCGAAACACGTACTTTCACGCCTATCGCCAACAAATGAAGAACTCAATTGAATGTGAATCGCTTCCCGAGGAAATTTACGATTTTGGAGGAGCCGGACTCAAGACCTGCGTATCTGTACGGCAGAATCCGAATTCTAGTCCATCGATGAACGTGTGCCCAGTGGACTTCAGTCAAACAACAACTTTAGATGGCATGGGATTAGAGCCACAGATGATGAGTGGCATGGCAGTCGACCCTCCTTTTGGCCTTGTGTATCATAACAGCATAGATGAAGGCCGAAATCAGTGCGAATGGGATCGTCAGTGGATGCTTACTGGCCCTCAAAATGTAACACTCGATGGCAGTTTGGAGGGAGCTGTCTGCATGGCGACCTTGCACGCTGACGCTGTGAGCAATCAGGTTGGGACCTATCTTGGACACGTTGGCAGCAAGGCGTTCGCATTTTATTACATTTTTCTTTTGTAATTTTGTACTTATGCTGCGATATTATTTGGAATATTCTATATGTTTTTTTGCGTTACCTTTGATTTGTTTTCTATTATTTAACTTGATGGACGCGATTGAGGCCAAGTGATAACCGCCGAATATTTATCTTTTCAGTCTATTCAAAACGTTTTGGGCGAGAAGCTAAGGCAGCAGCGCAAAGATAGCAACAGCGATGGGGAATGGTTATATCAGGAGGAGTTGCTGGTAAGCTTTCAGAACCTTCCGAACAATAAGCCCTCTCAAATTGCTCTCTGTTTCAGCGGAGGCGATCCAGCTCTATTCCCCATGCGGCCAGCAACGAGCAGCAGCCGCACATGTTTAAGCTAGACTTAATGTCAACCGGACCATCTAGCCTACCCGACTGCTCGAATGCAAATTCCCGACCTATGACGCCAAACACTAATCAGCTATCGCTAAAGTCGAACAACTCATCCGCGGATCACTTGTCTACACTGGCTGCTGGTGAAGAGCAGACCGGTTCAAACTCCAGAAACTTTGGCACTACGCCCTCCAGTCGACCAATCAACCGTGCAAAAGACGAAGTGTACTGCGCAACAACTTTGGTGGTCAAGTCCATAATGGTGCTATCGCAGGGTGTTGAAAAGGCCAATACAGAAGGTTATCTGGATTTGGTTAAGAATGTGGGCGTTGAGCTAAGAAACTTGCTCACATCGGTGGACAAAATATCTGTGCTGTTCCCAGCGCAGGCTCTCAAGTAAGCCTACACTGCGCTGCAGTCCACCAGAACCCATAATTCAATTCATTATACTCCTTTACCTTCACAGGGAAGTGCAAATGGCACATAAAGTTCTATCCAAAGACATGCACGAGCTCGTTTCTGCGATGCGATTGGCTCAGCAATATAGCGATACGACTCTAGACACTGAATATCGAAAGTAGGTGATATTGGCCCTTCACAAGACTGGTGAAATTCAAGCAATTGCTATTCATATTTCAGGAGTATGCTATCTGCCGCCCACATATTGGCGATGGATGCCAAGAATCTTTTTGATGTCGTTGACTCGATTCGGCAGCGGTATCAGCACATATTCCCACCACTCACCCCAAAAGAATTGACTAATTCATCCTGCTTTGAGGCGCATTCAATGTCCATGGCAACGGAGCCCACAAACGAGCTGAGTGGCTATATCAAAGCAAGCATGTCTGGAGAACCTCTCCAAAATGCAGACAGCTCTGCAGGAAACTGTACGGGAATTTATGATAATGACTTACATCTATGTTTGAGCTCACAATTGCAGTTGCAAAACAGTAGCGCCGTGGGAGATCGGAATGCTGTGGGCAGCTTGCAGAGGGAAATGAGCATGGGCTTAGATACGACAAGGGCTTCAAACGAACCTCTACGGATTGTAGAGGACGCTCTCAGTAGCCCTACAGAACACATGTATTGTAACACGTCTACTGTCCATGGCCATGCGTAATTTCAAGTGCTTAAGCGCTGTGTGTGTATATCTATAATCAGCACGACTGCATGAAACTGATGTACATATATTATAAATCCAAATATGTATACACTAAAATAACTTTTCTATTCGCGAACTATTCGAGAAATTTGCTAATATAGTTACTCACATAGTACTCCCTCAAGATTGACGAGACCCTCACTCGGCCGGCCGCATTCTCTCCTCGTCATGTAGTCAAAATAATTTAAGAACAAAAGACGCGTTTATGATTTTAGATGCCTATTAATGATATTTATAGATAATCAACCCAATCTAATACAACTAAATGTTCATTTTATAATAATTATTTCGGGTGTGTTTTAAGATATTTATATAATGTGATTTAAATTTGATCAATATAATGATAATGCTTCACTCATTGCACATTATGTTGGTGCTAGATTCAATAAAAAAAATAAAATATTAAACTGAACTACTAAACAAATGGCTGGCGAATAGTGGCTGAATTTGATTAATTAATGATGTGGATAGCGTCATTGGCAAATAAAACAAAAATTGGATCTGCTTGGTGAATAATCTATTAGCCCTGCCCTAACATAATACATAAATAACAGAATGACAGATTAAAATACAGCTAACATCTGAGTACGGCGGTTGATTTTAAATGCTGACTTAGTATATGAATCCGTATACATATAAAACACGGGTGCATCACCTTTTCAAATTTAATAAGTTAACACCGTGTCAATTTATATACCTAATTTATAATTCGGAAAGATATAAATATTTGAAAATTTCTCGGGAGTTTGACAATAGTTATTGAACAGGACAACAATTTAGAATTTCGGGCGGCAACATATTATTGGTATGAAAAGTGCTTTGTACTATGTATACATATAATGCCAAATATTGTAAAAAATTGAGTACGATTCAAACTGAATGAGATAACATGTAAATATGTGTTCGAAAAAATTCGCTAGCTAGGCTTAAATCGCAAACGGCTTAAGAATATATTGTACGTTCGATCCATTCCTCCAATGTAAACGTGGCTGTTTCATTTTTCTCAGTATCCCTCTCCTTGAATATTTCTGCAAGAAATTAATTGGAATGAGCATTGATATAAAGGATATTTTTATGGGGAATCTGTTACCTATGTATGTTTTTATTTTAACTGCACACATGATGAAATCATCAAAGGCAATTTGTCCGTCTCTGGACCCATATCGATGTCCCAAAACGTTCAGAACCCGATTGTTTAAGTGATAGCCAGCTGAATTAAGTGCCTCCCGAAGCTGAAAACCTGAGACCCTTCCTGTGTTTTCAACGTCGTAGACCTTGAAGATGGCCTTCCATTTGGCAATGTCCGAAAGCAAAGTCTCAAACTCTTCGAATCCCAGCTTTCCAGATTTATCAGCATCCAACATAGCCACCATGGAGCGACAAACGTCCTTGGAAAAGCCGTGAGTCTCATCGACAATTGCTGTGATAATTTGATAATATAATTTACATTTGCTTTCAGGTCGCTTGCCAGTTTTCTTACCACCTGATGTAATGGCGACACCATCCGATGGGTTATCCCCCATCAGCCTCTTACTCGACGGATCATTGGATCCCAGCGTTTCTTCGAATGGCGTGCCTTTTAAGAATGGGCCACATATCAACGACAAAAGTCCACAGGCGCCGCCGTCTTCGCCTGGGCCTGCCTGAGTCTCAAATGCATTGTTATTGGAAAATCGATTATAAACAATTGGCTTTGGCAAGTCTAAGGGAAAAGTACAGCACAAATTAGCATATATACAAAGTTTAGTCTTTGTGCAAATAAATGTAATCTTACCATCCCTCATCGAGTGGTCCAGTATTCGTTTCAGTTCCATCCAATCCACTTCCATATCCTTGCCGGCGATGCTGTCAAACAAGCGTCGCAAGCTCTCTTTCTGTGGATCCAATGGCTTTGGTGTTGGGTATCCTGGTGTTATCTTTAAACCAAAGCAAAATGTTATCCAGTGATCTCGTTTAGGACTATTTACTTACCGTGGCAGGGCCGATGCCACCGTATCCTACATGATCATCATTCTCTCTAAATGGAGGTAGAAAGTGAAATGATTGATGAAAATGAAACGGAATTGGTCATTAAAAATGTAAAGGCTGTTGTAAATGCAATATCATAAGATCTAAGCATTCCAAATTGATGAATTTTCACGGGAAATTTGGACTTATGTTCTAAAGATAAAAGGGTTTGGTTTAAATCACAAGACGTTGTTGAGGGGTTCTTTGCCGCTCTGTTTATTACCGTATTTAATATTTATATAGGTACATGAAAAATTACATTAAAGACAGGATTAAATATAGACAGGTACGGTAATCTCAGTAATTGAAAAAGTTAAAGCACTTCTATTATAAATTTTCTGGAATCAATATATGTATTACTCCTATAATAGTTCAATATATTGCAGTAACCACACGATAAGGCTATCGTATAGTTCAACGCTCTATAATTATATTGGAAATTGCACTATTTTAAATACTTTGTTACTATAATAAGAGACTGAATACTCCTTTAAATCAGTCTAGATCTGAGAAAAAGTTTTTCAAGGGGTTCGGACAGACGTGCTTTATTATTCTGTAATGAATACTGTGTGAGCATTGGGGGCCAGAGATAAGTTAAAATTGAAATATATGGAAATATTAAGGTTATGTCAAGGCCAAGGGGAATGTGTTGAATTGAGGTTAAACCAAAATAAAAATAATCTAATTGGGGAGCTACAACTACTTGCACTAAAAACAAATATTTGTTTTATATATACTGTGTCTTCACATACCCATATTGCACATTAGTTGCTTTTAAAATAGAAAACCCCGCAAATGTAGCAACCCGCATTATTTCTAATATACAAACTCATTTTCTACATGTACGCACTCCATGTTATTTTGGGTTTCGGAGAACACTCGAAGGATGAACTCCCCCTCCTCGTTCGGATCAAAAGTGGAAGGCACAATTAGATAGTGTCCGGGAGGCAACTTGAAGCGAGCACACACCTAAGACAAACCGAAATTACTGGAGTTAGATATATAATAAATAATAGAATACATACTTCTCTGGTATTAATGAAATGGGGAGAACGTCCCACCGACGACTTATACCGAAAGAAGTTGAGGCCTTGTGGCCGGCTCTCCAGTTCACGTTCGTTTAGGTTGTAAATGGCAAAACCAATGGTCAGACATTCCATTCCCATGTTGCGCTTTGATCTGCGATTTTTCTGCATTAGACCAACAATAACTGTGCAGTGTCCCTCCTCGTCGTCCTCATCAGGGTCCACCAAAGTAATAATATATTGGGGATTATGCCAGAAAGTATCCAGGAAGTTTCGGCACCCTCCAGCTGTAACTCCTGGTGTCCATTCTCCCTCGTACATGGACATCTCCCACTTGCGCTTGCCACTTTGCTGTTGGTCCTCCGTTAAAGAGTCCGGAGACAAATTGCAAATCTGGAAAAGGATTACCAAACATATTTTACAATTCAAAAAAATCGTAGACAGAGTAAGCTCTTACCTCGACTCGATCGAAATGGTGAAGGAAATCTTGGAATGACATCCAGAACTCGCCATCTCTATCGAAAGTGAGACCAATTTCCTGCTTCTGATCTTCAGGAATATAACGCCACTCAGCGGAACTGTCACTCCAAGGACCATTCCACTCGGCTTCGTTGCCCCATGGGTTGCGCATGCGTATCATTGGGATCTTACCCTGCCGATTCGGTGTTACTATATCTATGAAGCAGACCTGCAAATACATATTCCAAAGATGAAATTTGCTTTCCCACAAATAACCTTTTTATCATCATTTAGTACCTTGGTAATAGAGTATGCATGTCCACGAATTAACCCCTGAGGAGTTTCCGCCTCTAGCACATTGGGATCCGGCTCAATTGAACAGCCCATCATTGAATTTCGCTCGGCTGCCTTTTGTAATATGGTAAAGAGATTACCGGGCGCTTCCTTCAGGTCGTACCACTCGCTGACACCGCCAGTAAAGTCTTCCATGGCTTCACACGTGCTACCGCCTTTCAGAGCCTCATAGGAACCATGAAGTCTGAGTATTCAATAAATAAATAAACGCTGGCAGGGGTAAGTTATACGATTTCTCATACTTGGCATAGGCTTTCTCCAAGAGGGCACTCCAGAATTCGTTTTTCTCGGTAGAATGCATGTACACCAGCTCCCCCCGAGAGGTTGGCAAACGGTCATCAATAGTCACATCTACCCATTTACCTGTTTTAATTGGTTCATAAATAATTATTAGTTGACTTTTAATCCGATACGTAGTGGTTGTATGATTAAAATTACCGTATTGCCAGAAACGGAAGTGAAATATGCCAGCATAGTTCTCCTCGAAACTCTGCTCGGGTGGAATAACGCGAAAGAATAGATTCGGTTCCTGCGTTAAGTTGGCAGTGGCAGCCAGGAGCCAGCAATCTCCGAGCTCTCCCTGTTGGACATCAAATCGGGAAAAACCCTCTACAAAAAACTGTGGGTTGTCTGCGATTTCCTAAAAAAACATACATATATACATATTTATCCAATCATATTAGTAATTAATAGGATATTATCATTGTATTTCCGATCACTTACATGGGGCCGCAACCACTCGATGTGACGATCTGGGCGACGAGAAAACATTAGGGACTCATTACCAGCCGGGAAGATGGGGTCTTCAAAGAGTGATCCGCTGGACAGACAGCTGTTTAAGATTGTTTCATAGTCCTGCACCTCAGAGTACGGTCCCAGATTCGAGCTTGTTTCCCCCAACTAGAAAATCACATATTCCCATTATCCTTTGACTTATTTTAGTATGTACCATAATTTAGATTTTGATAAAAAATAATTAATACAATGTATGTACAGTGTAATTATGTTTAATTCGAGGATACAAGTAGACTTTACATATAACTACACACATCAAGATAGTTGCAACAAGAACACACACGGACACATTACAACAATTTGGCAGCACATTATCCTTCAAATGGAATTGTGTCAATGCCATGGCAGTAGCTTCAACATGTACTTACGTTCCCATAGAACACAGTTGGAGATGATTGCAATGGATGCTAACGCCCGTAACGAACGATTGAATGGAATGTATTTATTTAAGAGTTAAGAGTGTGAATACATGCATGTGGATATCAACGTGTATGTGTATGTGGTTATCTCTATTCAGAACATATGTACTTCTATTTGATTTAATCTAAGGATTGGAACTTACGACTCTCATGTTCTTGATGCTGGGAAGCACGCGCTTGGTGTCCGCTTCCTTTTTGATAAATATCTCGTTTATCACAGAGCCAACAACATCTTTGGCGGCCCCCATTGCAGCATCACCAGCGGCATTCAGAAATTCCTGACCGGCTTGTCTCAAGAATCCCTTTAGATCGTCCATCTTCCCTTTTTAGTTATCTAGTAGTAGGAACAAGTATTGACAGAGAAATCTTAGAAAGGGACTTAAATTTGATTTTAAATAGCAGTGTGCAAAAGATTAAAAAACGATTCGTAGACACAGAAAAATCCACATTTTTATCTAGTTATTTACAGTTATTAATTTTGGCCATTAGTTTGGCCCTCACATGATAGCCCAGCCCAGCAACACACCCACGTATATGCGAATATGGGTTAACCACTTTCCAAAAGTGATATAAATTCCCAACATGGTGAGTGGCTTCAATTACATTACTTCAATTCACGCAACGAGCATTAGGTGTATTCTTTGGAGAGCAAGAGCTCATTCGCAGCTCCCAGCCAAATATAATTTATACGGATATAAATATATATAATGTCTCTCTGCTTGTATGTCGACAATACATATATGCTAGTTTGTGTGACATCATTCGGAAGCATGAGATGCCTCTAATGACTCAAAGGGTGTGTGCCATTCGACCAGTGGACCTGGATGCCCACTCCTATCCTTTGATTGCACTGACATTGAACTTGAACAGCCTGTCGTAATAATAAAATGTCGCTTTAATCGAACACAACATGCTAGTTGATGTATGCATAGATCTGTTCCTTAATGGCTACATATATGTACGTACGTATGCTTGAATACATATGTAATACATATATAAAAGCATTGGAAATTCTACTGCGAAATCGAAACAGGTTTAGTAATTAATACATTTTTTGTGTCTGGCTCATTCTTGTGACCAGCATTCTTGTGGTAGGAGACACTACATTCACATAAACTATTTTGTTACAATAAACATATTCTCTTATTTATAATGGACCTTGATTTTCTCCGAAGACGATTTGAATCTTTCACCAAACAATACGACGGTTGGAAACGAAACGTACCGAAGCGAAGCGTATCTTAAAATATTTATTTTTGCAAGTGTGTGTGGAGGCAGTACAGTAATCAGCTGACTCCAAGGGCTGCAGTGTGCTTCTACTTCAGCCCTGGCAGCTAAAAACACTCAATTTATTTAACTGTCATTCGTTTTTAAATATTTGTCTCTTGTTTTCATCAAACAAACTATATTATGCAGATTTATGTGTCGTTTTTAAAGCGTATTAGGAAAATAAAATAAGTTGAAAAGAACTGCAAAAAATGGCATTGTGCAATGTCTGTCCAGCCCTGAAGATCGGCCTGCCAACTGATTCGAAATGTAAAGAAAAATGCATCTTCAAGATTAAGATACACACAACAATCTGATTCTGTATACAAGTGCGTCAGAATTTTCCACATCTTCTGCTCATTAAAAAACGATTAAAAACTAATAAATGTTTATGGACAACTAAATGCCACCGTGCACGAACGAGATAGCTCCAGTAAACATTAACCAATTACTGTGATCCTTCCGGAGCATGAGCATCATGTTTTCGAGTATAAGGAATACTTCGGAAGCTGTAGCGGCTCTCGCTTCACTGGGACTGGGATTTGTTCTGATTATATTCGTTTCTACGACGCCAACTGTGATTGACGCCACCCAGTCAGGGATCTATATAGACAATGGCAAAGATCAGACGATCATGCACCGCGTGCTAAGCGACGATGACAAGCTGGATGTTTCGTACGAGATCCTAGAGTTCCTGGGCATAGCCGAGCGTCCTACCCACCACAGCAGCCATCCGCTGTCCTTGAGAAAGTCTGCACCGAAATTCTTGCTAGACGTCTACCACCGCATCACGGAAGAGGAAGGCCTGGGAGGCGGCCATACCGACGATGAAACTGTGCACAGCCATCGCTCAAAGCGCAACGCCGACATGTCCGATGAAAGAAACGCAGATGGAGAGGAAAATTTCATTACGGACCTCGACAAGCGCGCCATTGATGAGAGCGATATTATAATGACTTTTTTGAACAAACGCAATCACAACGTGGAGGAACTACGTCACGAACACGGCCGCCGTCTGTGGTTCGACGTCTCCAAGGTGCCGAGCGACAACTATCTGGTGATGGCGGAGTTGCGTATCTACCAGAACTCCAACGAAGGCAAATGGCTCACAGCGAACAAGCAATTCACGATCACTGTGTACTCCATGGGACTGGGAGAGTCGGGTCAGAATACGATGGAAGCACTGTCCTCGGTGAATACCACTGGCGACTACGTCGGCTGGCTGGAACTGAACGTGACTGAGGGCCTGCACGAGTGGCTGGTACATTCCAAGGAGAACCACGGCATATATATCGGGGCACACGCTGTTAACCGACCCGATCGAGAAGTCAAACTGGACGACGTTGGACTGATCCATCGCAAAGTGGATGACGAATACCAGCCATTTATGATTGGATTCTTTAGGGGGCCCGAACTGATCAAAACTACATCGCACAGTAGTCACCACAGAAGCAAGCGAAGCACGCTTCATCAGCGCAAGAAAAAGAAGTCGGTGCCAGTGCATCCCTTTTTGGATGTACCCATCGAGAATACACGCAGCTGTCAGATGCAGACCCTCTACATCGACTTCAAGGATTTGGGCTGGCACGATTGGATAATCGCCCCAGAGGGCTATGGGGCGTTCTATTGCAGCGGAGAATGCAATTTCCCTCTCAACGCACACATGAATGCCACCAATCATGCCATTGTGCAGACACTGGTGCATCTGCTGGAGCCCAAGAAGGTGCCAAAGCCTTGCTGTGCCCCGACGAGGCTGGGGGCCTTGCCTGTGCTGTATCATCTCAATGATGAGAATGTCAACCTCAAGAAGTATAGAAATATGATTGTGAAATCCTGCGGGTGCCATTGAATCCAATTTGTAATCTAATCTAAGCATTTTAAAGCATTTCTGTGTAGATGTCCGTACTAATCTCGAATATTTTTATAGAAATATTAAACGCAGTGCCTAACTAACAGTGTATCGTGTTGTAGTATATATATCAATCTAAACTGAAACAGTTCTTAAAACCTCAGAGCATTGATTCTGCAGGATCTCTTTATTAAATTCGACTTCACATTCATTTGGAGTGATTCATCACTGTGTCAAATGTTATAGAACATACATGTATCATAAAAAAATAATTCATTGGCATTAACTCAAAAAAATAAAACTTCAACTTTCTTAAAGTTTAACAAAAGGAGTACATCATTAAATGATTATTTGATGTTGAGGGTCGGCAGTACATCCGATACATCCCATAAGGAACAAAGATTATAAAAACGCAAATCATAAATTTATCGCTTATGAATCCAATAATTGCGAAAAGCGAACAAGTCCATAATTAAATTTCCAACTCTTTTGTCAATTAGACTGGATATTAAACGGCCGTCAAAGTTTGGCATGCTAACACTTAACGATCGGCAAGCATCGCTAGAAGAGATGACGGTATACATTAGGTCGAGTCGTCAAATTCATTTCTATACTCACATAATTTCATACACTGGAATAACATTTCGAAAGTATTCCTTCAATGTAAATTCTCCGTTAATAGTTTTTGCTCGGCTTATGCTTAGCATTTCATCATCATTCTTTTTATACAGAATCACGAAAATGTGTCGATTGGGCGTCTCGATGGGTCTGGCAAACTTTCCTAGTATGGATTCGATGAAGGGAGTACTGGTGCTCCTGTAGAAATCCTCACATGATACTTTGGTGTGCAGAACGAAGAACTGTCGCTCAACAAAGTGTGAATTGATATCGAAATGTGGTAATGTCCGTCGTTTCAGCAGATCTTCTTTGCTATCTTCTATTTCCTGATTCCAGCTAAAGTGGTGATTTACAGTCAGCAGATAAGGGGTTGGCAGCTTTATAATGGGCTGATAATAAATAAGCGGAGTCTTTGAAAATCCGACAGCCACATCTTCGTTTTCAAATACTTTGGCCAATGTTTCATTCAGCATGACCTGGTTGGCCAAAATGGTTGCGTCGGCGTTCCATCTGTCCTGATCTCTACAGTGCTTTAAAAATTCGTGATATCCACTAAAGAAACACTGACGTGCTTTCATGACCAACTCGGCTACAGTTTTTGGCATAACCATCCAGATCCATTCATCTATATAGACATTGACGTTATCATTTTGGCTTAGACTTATTTGGGAAGACCTCATTCTGCTCGGACCTAAAATAAGAATACATTTAAATAATCAGTTAATCTAAGATGTGACAAGCCAACTTACCAGCAAACATAGCCACTGCTAAGGGAATAACCACGGTGGCGTATAAAATGTAGTTCTTCTGCTTGGTGCAGACAACCCAGGGACTGCGAAAATTAAGAGCCGAGCTGCTAAATGGCTCTAGAAAGTCCCGCAGCACTGTGTTGGGATGCAAGTGCACTTTCTCTGAATAAGCCGACTTTAGACATGATTTTCCCACATCTAGCACGCAGATATTTGGATACATGCCGCCGGTTAGGGCCGCCTTTACCACGTGCCAATTTCCCGACAACAAATTAAGATTTTGAATGCTAAGCACGCCACGGAAATGAATCATGTGGGCCGCTCGTAGAGAGGACACAATATAGGAGCGGATGAAACTCAGCTGCTCCATCAGTCCGTTCAGAATAAAGTCGTATTCGTTGGTTAAATACAGAATCGGCATCTTGCTCTTTTGCCGATTCTGCCACTCCTGAAACAATCTCAGGAATATAAAGTGGTCTGAAAACTGATTGTCTGCCAGGCGACTACGTTCATTCTTGATGAGATTTTGAATATAAATCGTGAATCGATCCCACAAGTTGTCAATGTCCTCCGTGAAGGGAATACTCAGCGGATCCGTCGTCGAGAGCGAGGTCACTATGGTCAGTATTGGATCCAGGCATTGAAGAAGAATACCATAAATTAAAATGCGTCCAAGTTGACAAGGGACTGGTATATCAAGAAGTCGGCAGCCAAGCCATGTGAGATCTTCGACCTCGTTCAAAGCCTCAATTTTTTTCAGGAACTGCACGGCATGGTGCACATTAATGAATGGCGGTGGGGCAATGGTATAGCCTAGGTATTCACTGACCATCTTGTTTGGCGACAATGCTTTCACCGTCAAACAGATCTTGTCCAGCTGTATTCTTTGAAGCAGGGGTGAGCTATTTTCACTGAGCGAATTGTATGCGCATTTGGATAACAATCTAAAGCATTGCGAATCAGCACCTGCTCCTGCAAAAAACAGAATGTAAATCAAGAGTTATTTTCTGAAAGAACGGGGAACCTTTACCGTCGACGATGGATTCCCTTCTCAAGAGACAGTCTTTGGCCACCCATTCGTATCGATTTTCAGCGCAGTAGCTGCTGCTATTATAAATGGTATACTGTTTGCAAGCAGTGTCGATGAGGTACTTGAACGGCACCTGAAGAGCCAGCGACTCAATTATATCTGTGGCCAACACCACTTTGTCAGTGTCGTCGCGAGCATTAACCACATCGTCAATGTACTCCCCGCCCATATTTTCGTGCAGCAAGAATATTGAGAATTCTTGCAGTTTGCCGCTCATGTAATGACTGAGAAGCATATAGTTCAGTTTAACAATATGATAATAGGTGGGCAAAATTACCAATATGTTGCCTGAAAAGAGATGGAGATTCATTAAAATAGATTAGCGATACCTAAACATAGCCATATCAAATATTTAGATGTATCCATAAGAGAGAGTTGATTTATTAAATCTGATTTACAATGCTGTTTCCTAGACAAATACACCCGGCTATTCCTCCAATTAAATCAAATGAAGAACGTTACAAGACAGATGCACAATGATACAATTATCTGATACATAATTCTAAAATGGCATTTCTTAAGCTATAACTAATATGTAGAACTATTTAACAGGCATAAGTGAGTGTGGTGTGGTGTGCTGGTTTGTGTGTTTCCGGGCAGAACGGCGCGACATCTTCAGGTCAGTGTGTTTTCTTTAAATTTAAGTGTAAGCTTTAGAAATGCCTGGTGGCTGAGGCAGAGTTGAGTTGAGCTCGATATTTCGCTATGATTGTGGCTTTGGCTGCACTGCGTCGCTGTTTTCCAATGCCGACAGCTGCTTTAGGATTTCGGCTTTCTTTTTCACCTTGTCGAGCTGGTCTTTGTCCAACTTTTTATGCTCGCCGGCCCGAATTCTGCTCTCGATTTGTTCGATTTCGCGTATTTTCTTGCGAAGCTTTTTTAATTGTTTCTCAGTATCGACATCTTCGGGTACGTTAAGCTTCAATTTATCCGCCAGAGCGTTTGATATCACATTGACGTTCGTCTTGCTGTCAGACGAAGGTTGGCAAACCTTAAGCGGCGACCCGCCACTAGAACCACTGGGGCCACTTAGGGCAACTGCAACTCCTTCCTTGTCCTTGTCCAGCTTCTTTGTTCTCGTCCTCTCCTGCTTTTCGAGCTCTTTCTTTGACTCTGCCGCCAGAATGGGACACATGCCAGGCGGCACTCCAGTCTGTCTTTGGGCGACAAACTGCTTGCCCTTGCTCTCGTACAGCGGCACCTCCTCCTGAGGCACGTACCCATCTTTTACACGACGCGCCTTGCGCCAAGTGCCATCTGGACGCTTTGTGGCCGGGATAAATTTCCCCTCGCTGCTTTGCTGGTAGGTGCTCATTTTTTACGTTTCAACCAAAGCCTGCTACCCTGGTTCTATATTCCAAAAAAAAAAACAAAGCTAAATGGCAAAGGGCGATATGTATCGATGGATGCGATACATAGGCACATTGGAGATGGCACTATTGCGAGGGCCATTACAGCTCACGATTAATCATATAACCATTATTATATATACTACCGTTAACTAAACAACAGGGAATGGAAATACCCCCCGCTGGATACCGTCTATTTATAAGTAGAGAATAAAATAGTAGTTTTATTACCTGACGGATATTCCGGCTTGGTTCGCAACAAGTAAAACAAATCTATGATAAGATCGTAGTCCACAAAATCGGGCTTGGTGCTTTTAATTGCATTGCCCCGCAGGCTGAAATTGTTCAGGACGTCAATGCACTCATTGTTTTCCTTTGATGCTGCCACTGTGATCGCGTTCTGGTGCTGCTCATCCACAACGTACGGATCAGCACCCATAAACAGCAAGACGCGTAGGTGGTTAGCATTGTTCCGCTGAGATGCAATGAGCACAGCAGTCTTGCCGGTGGTCGAATGGCGATAGTTGACGGGCACCAAGTCGTAATTGACGGCATACAGAAATGGACGAATAGAAAGATCAGTGCCGAGCTCCTCGTAGGCATCCAAACATTTATCCATTTGCTCATTTCTGGGGGTTTTGGTTCTGTACACCTCTGGAGTCTCCTTGTAAATGTCCTGCCCCTTGTGAATGCCAGCCTCTGAAATACGACTGTGAATATCACCCAAATAAGAAATGCGAGGCGCCGGTTTTTGAGCTCCGTTCGGCATCAATTCTGTCCCTTCTCCAAAATAGTCGGTAAATTTCTTCACGTCGGCCATTTGACATAGCAGTATGACTCGTAGATTTTGGTGCAAGGTCAGGGCATTTCGCAATTCACTGAGCAAAACGTCGATATAGGGATCATGCCGGTGCACATCGTTAACAATGAAGTGGCTGATGTTCAGGCATTTCTGGCTTGTCAGTGAACGTAACACATACTGCGCCGTGGAGCATATAATGTGCGTTACCGAGCTGATGTTGCTGTTATGCGGCAGTTGAACTCCCACAGTCTCACCCAAATCCTCGGCGAAGTAATGAGCCAGGCGCTTGCTATTGTACATTGCCAAAACGTTTTCATTCTCGATGCAAATTATCTTCGCATTTGTTTTCTTAGACGCGCAATCTTCAAAAATGATTATTGGCATATACAGCGATTTGTCCCACGAGAGATCTGCACTGAACACCATTACCCGCTGTTTATACAGGGTCTGTATGACGTTGTCGATGAACGGATAGCCGGGAAATTTTTTCAGTAAA